GTGCCATAATCAGGAATACCCCAGAAACCAGCCACTCCATAATACAGGGGGTGGTTGGGCAGGCCGAGTGCCTTGGGGTCGCATGCGACCCTTAAGCCCAGCAGAAAGAAAGAGAGAGAGAGAGAGAGAGAGAGAGAGAGAGAGTAGTAGCCATTTTGGCTCAAGCCGTGAGTGGTTCCAGCGTCCCGGGGTGGCTTCTGCCCCTTCTTCTTTCCTCTGTCCTCTCGCTTTGCCACCCCGGACTCTCAACCCGGGCGCTTGCTTCCTCTCACCTGCTACCACATTGGCAGGGCGACCTTACGCGAGAGCTACCTGCTCGCAAACCTCATCCGATCCTTCAACGCTGGGAGACCAAACCCATTGCAGGAGGGGACGTGATATCTACCTCGACTCCGGTGACCTAGTGACCTACCTTGGAGAAGCAAAGGCCGGAAAGGGGAATCCAAGTGTGCAGAACGTCATGGCAGTGGATCAACAAGGACCGACAGCAAAGCGAAAGGTCCCCGACGCTGAGAATATGGCCCTCACGATTACCGTCGTTCGCGAAGCTGTTCGAGGGGAACTTCAAGGGGCCATGTCGGATTTCAAGCAAGAGCTCTGGGGATTCGGCCGCAGGATTGACAAAGTGGAGCACCAAGTCACTACACAACTGCAGCAAACCATTAATCTGCTTGACGAGGTCTCGGGGAAGCACACCGCCCATGGAGAAGTCCTACAACAACTGCAAGAAGCCAACCGTGAAGTCAACCAACGGCTGGAACAGCTTGAGAAAAATGGTGGGAGGAGCTCCATTGCTGGAAGCACCGGGGTGCCGTCGGAACCAGGACGGCGACCAGCTTTGGTCATAGGCAGAGGCGGAACAGTGTTACCTGTGAAACAGTGGCGACATGGGCAGGCACACCGCCCACAACAGACAGGCCCCTGGATGCAAGTACTATGGGGTGCCTGCGGGCAGAAGCAAAGTCCCACTTGGGGGAGTGAAGGCAAAAGCAGCCACTCCCGCCGCAGGAAGAGAGCGCCACGACAAGCGCCTTTTAAGGGGGGAAACCTCGCAGGCAGACGATAGTGAAGTGGAGGAGGAAACCAGCTCAACTGCCAGCGAAAGGGGACGCCAGACCTTGAGAGGCAGGCACCACAGCGACGTGCAGCCCGCACATGGATCGCATAGTGGGGAAGAGATTGTGGTTCGAAAAGGCAACTGGCTTTTGATGTACGCCGGGGGACTTGGTAAACCTTGGTTGCAAGCGACAGCTCGGGGAAGAGCAAAGTGCAAAGTTAATTGACCGTCTGGCGGACTTGGGTTACGAGACAGTGATGATGGTGAAGCTGTTCGGGGGGACTATGCACAGGTCCATACCTTGGAGCAGCTGACCGAAGCACGCTTTCAGCAAAGGACCTCCGTGCAGCCACCCGCGTGCTCTCCAGCTCCGAGACGGGGGACGGTGGGGGAGTACAGCAAGCGCCGACTATTCCGCCTTCTACGGCTGCCAGCGGACAAGCGCAAGGCCAAGGACGCAGGACCTTGAAGTCCCCTCCCCTACAAGCTCGAGTGCAGGGGAGCCAGGACCAAGTCCTGGCCATGGCACAGACTCTCCGAAGCCTGACTGGAACGACCCTGCGGGGGAAGCACCAGCGATCTCCCGTGAGTGCCTGGAGTCGGGCAGTGAGCGTGGCCTTCAGTGGGCAGGCAATGAAAGACAACCTGTCACCCCGCCCTTGTCAGACAGAGGCAGCCGCGGCAGAGATAGGGGGGATCGCTTGGCCTTCGCGTGCAGCCGTGACTTGTCCCACGACGACCTGTGCAAAATCTGGGGGGTTGCCTGTGCGCAGCGCCACTACTGAGCCAGAAGACGGGGCGCAAGACAGAGACGCCACTCCGGAAGAAAAGCAGCAGCAGAACAACTGTACGCCAAAGTCTTGCGAGACGTTGACGAAGAGATGGGGGAGTCCGTGCTGGTCGAGGACGACGAGCCTACCACCAAGTCGGAGGAGACGACCCTTGCTGCCGAGCATTACGCCAAAAGGTTGCGAGAGAAGAAAGCCAAATGGTGGTGACGGGCAGAAGCAGCTCCCACCAGGCACGCAGCCTGCGGGTCGCGAAACCGACCAGAGCAACCGGGGGAGAAGCCGCATCTTCCTCCATGACGCCTGCAGGGGGAAGGTACGGTGTGGCAAGAAAGGCCGACGCAGCCCAGACTGGGGGAACCCTGCAACCTCTCACAACCGACGAACCTACCAAAAAAATGTCCGCCACGAGACAGTACCCAGCTGGGGCGGCACCTGAGAGACCTCCGCTGAAACGCAAGAAGCACGGAGGGCAGTGAGAACGGATTTGTTCAAATTACCTTAAACTTCCCGAAGGGATGTCGTGACTGAGGGGGGTGAAGCTGTGTGCCTTGGCAGAGTTTAGGGTCCTTTGAGGTTTGGTTACGCAGTGCCGGGGCTTCAGCTGAACCTACTTACTCCCTTTTCACCTGTCAAGCCTTGTTGCATAAGTTCTCAATTTGCTGCACTCGGGGGATGCGGGGGAGTGCCTCGTCTTTCAAAAGATGCTGTTGCCCGGGTTAAAGTACCCATAGAGGGAGTGTCTGTTCGTGTGGCTGAAAAACGCCCTGTTATCCCAACCGTGTGCGCTGTAGGATAAAGAAGATGCCTACGCAGTCCGCCTTGCCACAGTTGTTTTACTATCTTTGAGTATTCCAAGCCGGGGAGGGGGACAAACTTTCTTTGCGCTCGTACAGCCGAGCCCTCCCGTGGAATCAATCCCGGGGGGGAGTCGTTCCCGCCAAGAGCTGCGGGTGTGCGGACTGCACGGGGAAGAGGCCAGGACGCTGCCTCTTCCTCCAACCCGGAAGAGAAAGAGAGAGAGAGAGAGAGAAAGACCTTAACCGACCTTTCAGCACTGAATGTTAAAATCTGCTTCATCACTTGTTATTCGTGGTGGGCATGCGGCTGCCGGTTGTCATGCCAGAAACAAACAAACACTCAGCAAGAATGGGCAGAGATGTATTATAGCATGCCTTGGACGAGACCCCCCAACACATGAGTGAAGCTGGCACGTTCGTGTCGGACCCAGTGAAGTTCGACAAGCTCTGGTGGTACACTCGGGATATTCACCTGCCTTATCCTCTCTCCCCGAAACATCGGCCATGCAGGTAGGGTAGAACTACAACACCTTCATGGCCAGAACAGCCCCGGTGCTTCAGCAGTCATGCTTGTAACTTGTACAGCAGTCTACATGTCAAGACACCCAACATCCCCAACCCAATTTCAACCACAAACCCTCCCACAGCTGACAGGCGGCCCGAGAGAATGAACTGAATGCAGAGCAGCATGAGCGAGAGTCCATCAGGGTGGCCAGGCTTACCAGGGAGCTGGTGAAGACGCTTTGCTCAACAGGTCTTTTTCTAATAGTGGCTCTGCATAAGCCTGTGTTGCGTCCAATCTCTGGGGCTATTGGGCTGTCGCTCCTCTAGAAATCAGTGTTTTTGGGTCACTGCGGCTTGTTGCCGACACCGGATGGGCAGTGATCTTCGCTGGCTTTCGAGTCAATTTTGGTTCGCTGAACGTGGGGAACAGCAGAGTGTATAATTTCCGGGCGAGGGTGCCAGAGGGTAACACCCTGCACTGCAGGGTTCGAATAATCTGATAAGAGCTCGCAATTCGAGATGGAGCTGCTTCAGATCTCCAGAGTTGGAGCAAAGCTTCTTGTTGGATGTTGGTTTTCATGCAGAGCCGGACCACTGGCCTACAGCCTGTGGCAGGACAAGGTCCTGAAGTCGGCACGAACGAAAGGCTCCAGGCCTTGCCCACCCAAGGCCTCGAGGACACCCATCCGCGGTATGAAGCAGCTTATCGCCAGACCGACCTGTCCAGATACGACTAAGGAAATTCACCAAAGCTTATCGCCAAGAGAAGGTGGTGATCCCAGCCGAGTATAGTGAAGTCCAGACCTCAGAAGAGAGCGTTTGCCGTTTGTGCCAGCCTTGCGGGACTGCCCCTTGGGGGCCTTGAGGATCTGTCTCCTCATGTGAGTTCTGCCAGACTGGCCGCCAGCCCGGGATTGGGTGAAGAGGACGATGATCACATTGAGATCAGCAAGGAGCTCTTTCTGACAGTTGTTCAGGACTGACAATGTAGGAACGCGTTTCTGAGCTGTGACTGGCTAGGCCTCTAGGCAACAAAACACCATGATTGGACGTCGGAGGATCGACAGGTGCAGCGTTTGATGGATGACTTGGATCTGCCACCGGATCGAGCAAATCTCTTCGAGGCGCTGGACGCGGACGGCAGTGGAACGTTGCACGTGGCGGAGTTGGTGCAGGGCTTCCTCAAAGTTCGTGGAGATCTGAGGAAGACGGACACCGTGGCGACACTCTTGGCCACAAAAGCAGTCTTCAGGCTGTTGGAGCACTTGAGTGAAAACATCGCGGAGCTGCAGCAAGACACGGCAACCTTAGTTGGCAAAGCTGCAGATACCAATGCTCCCACCAAGCGTCGTCAGTCCATTTTCGGGTTTTAAGATACCATGCAGCATCACCAAGTGACGACTGCCCCGCAGCTTTCTGCATGCGCGTTTCACCAAGATCACAAAAGTTGCTCGAAGAATGGTATGTGGCTTTTAGGCTTTGACTCTTGACTTGTTGCAGGGCCGCGGGAGAAATCCCGTAACACAGGGTGCTGCCCGAGTGGTGCCTGCCGGAGGTTCGTGCCTACTGGAGGTTCGCTCTTGAAAAGCAGCGTGCGCTGGATTGGCTTGCCGCGGCTTGTTTGCTATTACCGTCTACCAGACGCTCGTGCAATCTCGGGATATCCCCGTCACTTGCCACGACGACCTTGGCGTCAACGCCAGTGGGCCGTTCTGTTCAATGTAGGACAGTGCTTGCTGCTATGCCTTGTCCTGTTCAGTCCTCAGCGGTACTCACAGCAGTCAAGTCATTGCAGTCTCTGAGAGAAAGCCGAACGTGAAGACAAGTTTCGAATAGGCGAAAACGTGATGCATGCCTCTCTTTCCTTCGGTCTACGCTGAGAGTATGGAGGCCTTGAAGGGGGTTCCCTACGTACATCGATTTTTGGTTTGCAGTCAGTGCAGGAGCGCGTCACGCAGTGGACACCTCAGGGCCATGGCAGTCGGACCAAGGACACGCTGCGCCACGCTCGGCTTTTCGTAACTCTCGTTCAACACCGGCAGCGTGTGAATCTGACAAGTTTTGCTTGTCGCGCTCAGGGCAGACGACGACCTATTAGCGAAGCTATCTGTGGCTGTCAGGGACTCAACATGGGGACGAGCTGCAGCGTGCTACGGCGAAACACGAAATCGGCAGCGTTCCAAATTAGGTCGACGAAGAAGATGTTGCGCCGGCAAGCTTCATTTGCAGTCGGAGATTTGTCACGAGCAGAGACAGAACGCTAAGAGCAGTAGACCACGTCAGGAAGAGGTCTCGCGCATTGTGCCTGGATCCACTCCAAGCACGGCTACATCCACCCCAACGCTTGGAGCAAAGACAGTCTCACTCTCGCAGCATATTGTCGGAGTTTTTGAAGCAGCGTATTTGCCGCACATTTGCTCCTAGGCCCCCCTATCACAGTGCTGGACCGAAGCAGCGCCTGATTCCAAGAAGATGATGACGATGGCCCAGTGGTCTAGACAAGAGTCAACCGGATTGTGGCCAAGGCGCGAAGTCGAGCATGACCATGGTGCCTGGCTTGGCTTCCTCTTCCCTCTGCGCCTCGGTCCGTTTTGACGAAACTGGCATCAACCTCTCAGGCACCAACTGCCGAAGAAACAGCTCCAGACGACCATCCCACCCGCCCAGATTCGGTATGTGGTGTTGTTGGGAGCTCACTCGCTCGGATTTATCTTCGCTTCCCAACATTCCGAGTCGTGAACATGCCTCTTGGTGCATCAAGGCCAGCGCACGTGGGCCAGGTGCCGTCAGTTGTAGAGCAAACGTTGTTTGTTTCTTGTTGGATTGTTTTGGGTGGCTGAGAGGAGCGAGAAGGAAAAAAGTATCTACAGGAAGAACGAAACACAAATCGACGAAGCGCGGCCATGAAGCAAGAGGAGAGAAACGCACCCAAACCTTAACCTCCGCTTAAGAAGAAGCCCAACCTCTGAACCCCGCAACCCTAGGTAGTAGCGTCTCATCCACAAATGCAAGTGCCTGGAAGCCTCACCCGGCTCGCCGTCGTCGAAACAATCAACCCACCGTGCTTGCGTCGGCTTGCGTTGTGGGAGTGACGTTGTGTTTTTCGGTTTGGTTTTCGACCAAAGCTGTACTTCCCACGTGGACCGACAGATGCCGAAAGGTTGTGTAATTGCCTCTGGGGTTGTGAGGCATCGGAAAATAATGTTCATCGCGGGTGTGCTGCACTGGCGGTAGCTGGAGCGCATGCGGGCACTAAGTTGGTAGGGCTTTGGAGGCCATGGCTCGCTTTGCGCCTGCGGCGTTGATAGGATACTGTGAAGTCTGTGAATCGCTTGCGACCTTGAAGCTTCTGCGCTTTCGCACTTCTGTGACCGAGCTATGTGCTGGTTGGCGGATGATCTGAGCAGTGTGGAAACTCACAGCCAACTACCAATGACTAATGCCGTATCTGTGGACATTGCTACTACCAGTATTTCCAGACAAGTGCTGTTTGTTTCTTTTGCTATTGCGAAGGAGATTGCTGCTACATTTTGTCCTTTTGTCTAGCTTCGTGACCAAGCTATTGCCGTTTCTGTTGCTGTTGCCACCGCTATTGCGGTTGCTATTGCTGCTACTAGCACTACTTTTGCGGCTACTTTGCTACTGCACTACTACCATAACTATGACTATGGCCATGGCCATGACCACGAAATTGACTCGTTACTAGCCACTAGTTACTAGTTACTACTTGTACAATCATTACCACTTGCAAGGCCCAACTACTGGTTACCAATTACGAAGTACGAGTCACTCAATACGACGTGCGACGTACCACTTACCACCTGCTAGTTGCGACTTACTTCTCACCATGTTGTACTTGCTTGTAGTTCTAAAAGAAAAACTTCCCGACTCCTGCTGTTACTACTACTCCATCAGGTAGCCGGAGCGACGGAACTGCAAACAAAGCAAGCAGACCAATGTCCAGCCCGCAGTTTCGACTTCTTCATCACTGATGCTCGTGTCTCTCGCCCTCGTTTTGTGCCTGTCCGTCTGTATGTATGGACGCCTGTACGTCGTAGGTCCGTCCCTCTTCTTGTGTGCTTTCCTTCTGCTTTTCTTCTGTCGTTCCTTTGGTCTCGATCCCTCGGTGCTAGTCTGCCCTTCTGATGAGTGCAGGCAGTGCGAATGCCGCTTCCCTGGATATTGGAAGTGTTACGAAGCGCCTCCAGCGAGGGTTTCAGGAACATGGCATGTAGACAGGTTCGTTGGCGCATGGTGACGGGCTTGGACGTCTGTGGCCATGACCAGTGTCGCAACTAGTTTTGCCGCTGCTGTAAGGCCTCTGACAATCAGCGCCCTGCGTGGCACTCATCCACATTAGCCTGCGTTGATGGTTAGCTGCGCGCTCCAGCTGGATAGGGTGGCTCGAGGGCCAGGGACCAACTCAGGCCTCGTCTGCGTACTCTGCGCGAGCGCCACGAAAAGTCAATGGGAAGAACGCTTTGCCACCGATGAGCCTGTACCCAAGCGGACCCAGAAATTTCGACTTCTGAGCGGGCTTTGAACTTTGGCTTGCACGGCCAGGCTCTACTTCTCCAAAGGGTGAAGCGCGTGCGACACTTGCAAAACCACAAGACACAACCACACAGTCCACGGTCTCCAAGTCCTCCCAGTCCTCCCAGGCGAGCGTGCTTCAACCCCGTTCCATGTCTTTCCTGCAGCCTGGCGAAGGCATCTCCTGTAGTTCAGCCGTCGAAAAGACGGCACCAGCCACAGCCCTCCCAACAGCCAGATCCTCACACCGGAGCACCTGGCGCCCGACCCCGGAAGCCTGCCAGTGGCACCAAGTGCTTTCAGGTCAAACAGCAGCGCTTCCTCCTCGGAGGGTCAGCACAAGAAGCCACAGCATCTGCCCCAGGAGCTCAGAGGGTCGGGTCAACAATCCGAATTTGACAACTGCCTTTGGGGCGCAGCTTTCTGATTCAAGGGGCTGACTCGAAGTGACGCGTAGCAAAGTCTTCATGTATATTTCCGTCGACAGGACCCCGCCTTGCAAGCAGTGGCACGACAGCTGAACAAAGCCTTGGTGGCACCAAGGCTGCATGTAAAAGCAACCCACTCGAATTAGTGTATAGAATATTATAGAATCACACACACACATATATATATATATATGTATATGTATATGTATATGTATATGTATGTGTATATGTATATGTATATGTATATGTATATGTACATGTGTATGTACATGTACATGTACATGTACATGTATATGTATATGTGTATGAGCAGATGTAGATGTATATGTCTTCATGTCTGCGTCCATGTCTATGTCCATCCGTCTGTATGTGGCATGTGATGCTGTGCATGTTCCAATGTGAACATGGTAGTGCTGTGAATGCCCATAAACCTCGTCTGACTTGTCGAGCACGAGTGACAAAAATGTGCCCGTGTGTAAGCGATTGTAATGTTGCTGGCCATAGGCTGAACAGAAATATCAATCATAAATTTTGCGCGGGTGTCTATGCTCCGTCTTTGTCTCGATGTCTGTGTCAGTTTTTGCGAATGTCCTTTTTCATGCAGGTGGAGATGAATATTCATGTGCATCTGCATCTGTATTTGCATGCAAGTAAGCAAGGAAGGAAGGGCGGAAGGAGGACGGGAGAAAGCAAGTAAGTACTGTATGTGTGCAGGTGTTTATGTATGAATGCATGTGTGTACGTGTGTCTGCATGTGCGCCCGTACATACGCAGGTATCTGTGCATGTACGATGTATGTATGCATGCATGCAGCATGCTTGTATGCATGCACGCATGCGAGTGCTAAGTTGTATGCATGCACGCACGTTTGCATGTATGTATGTATGTATGTATGTATGCGTATCTAATCTCCACATATGAGTATACCCGAATCCTTGGCTGTTCTGGTTAATCGTTCGCCCGTACTAACGTGCGAACCCATAGGTCCATCATCCATTAACCCATGCCTTTTGGCCAAATGGACTTGGGCTTACTAATCATCAAAACCCCAGTCTTCTCGGCCGTTGGAAAGTCAATAATGCAGGCCTTCCTGATCGGGGCATATGCATAGAGTTCTTGGGTTAAGGCTTCAGGGAAGCCTCACGTGCATATACAAATAAGTACATCAATCCATCCATGGATCCATCCATCCATCCAGCCATACATGCATGCATGCGTACCTCTGTATCTGCGCACCTGTGTACATACATACGTACATACATACATACCCACAGGTAGATAGACATGCATGCGTGCATTCATGCATACGTACTCACATGCGTACATGCACACATAGACATGAAGCCATTGTCAACCAAGACACAAACCGCGGGCTTGCATGTGTCCTAATTTCTGTTGAAGGTGTAGCGGCGAGCCAGGTGTTGATGGGGACTTATGAGGGCGATTGTGGTGTTGGACACACTGAGGCCCACGCTCAGAAGCGGCAGTCGGATGGGCCACCCAGCTGGGCGCGATTCTTTATGGAGGCCAGCCTGGCTTTCGTTACCTATGACTGTCTCCAACTAATACGTACAATCACCTTGATGGCGGTCAAGATCACTGTTACTGACATGATGCTTTTCTTTTGCCGGCTTTGTACGATGTGCTTTTGATGTCTTGGGCAACGCTCTCATTGATGCAGCCTGAATCGTACCTGTGAACCCCAATGTCTCTGGCTCTGACGCCTGTCGTTGTCGATCAGACAGAGAGTGCATTGTCAGAGAAAGCATGCGCAAAAACCATCCAACGCCAGGCGCCCGAGCCCTTAAATCGGTTGTCTATGTGGAGCCTTGCCTGCCTTGTGCGAGTGCGAGCATCGAAATCGGTTGTCCCCGACCTCATGCATCCATGCCTGCCCTTGTGGGAGTGTGCGGGTCGAAATCGGTTGTCCAGTTAGTGTCATGACTTCAATTGGGTCTTGCTCAGACGCCTGGGGCCCAGCTTGTCCCATTTTTAGAGTCTAAATCGGACCAGGGTATCTGCTTTCGCCCGTCGAACTTTAGATGGGCTCGCTTGGATGGTCCGAGTTTGAAGTCCAGAGTCCGAGCTGTCTTATCCGTCGACCTGCGGTTTTCTGAAGGAAGGCAGCTTCGGGCCTTGCTATGAGCTGTGAACTTGTCCGCAGTCGATTTTGAAGAGATCGACCCCGTGTAGCCCTGCTGCAGAGAGCCAAAAATCGCAAGGCTGACGCGGATGGGAGTGGCATGATCTCCTTTGAGGAGCTGGACATTGCGGCCTCGGAGCTGAGCGTGGGATTGGGCAGCTGGCACATGTTCGCACCGTTATGAAAGCCCGTTGCCGACAAGTTTCTCGGCTCTAGGGTCGAAGACCGATCCCTAGTGACCTAGTCTAGTGATGGACTCTGATACACCCTTAGCTTCTCCTGGAAGGGCCTAGGCCAGATGGTCCTCATTGAGGAGCATGAGGACCCAGAGCTTCCGAAGCTTGGTTCATGCACTATGGCATCCAAGACGGTGGGCCAAAGCATTCTGCCGCCGCTTATGCCGAGGATGCCCGCCACCTTGCATCAGCTGATCAGCTCCGACGACGACGGCGACGGCAGACCCGAAAGAGATGAGCAGCCACAGGCCAACGCAACCGCTCAAGAAGGCCGGAATGCGAGCCTACAGATTGTCAGCAGCTGTTCACCGCGGTGATGTGCTTGGCAGCCAGTGGCAGCGAGCTACACACAACTCGTTCCGGAATTCGTGTTGCAGTATCCTCTTGCCAAACACTGTGCCCGATGGTACTCAGATACCTAGAAGGCCTGCAGACGATCCTTCTGGAAGACTCGTGCCGTGTAGACAGACCTGGATTACGAGTCATGAGCTTAGCAGTATAATAATTGCATGTGGTTGTCTTCTATCAAGCATTGACCATACTATAACCATGCTTTGATGTTGTCCTCTATCAGAAAGGAATATGTCCGCATGCATGCATGTATGTATGTATGTCTGCTCTCGCCTGGCCCCCGCCTCTCTCGGCCGTCGGCTCCGGCGGCCCCGGCCCCGGTCCGGCACAACCGGAACAAACCCACGCAAATCAGAGGAAGGGAGGAGGATGGAGAATGATCCCAGCCAGTGCTTCTCACAGAGTGGAGAACCGCATCAGAGCAGGGACAGCAGCACCATTTGCAAGGAGGAAAGAGCAACATCAAATGTCTAGCATGGTAACGAGCACGTAACGATGACATTACTACTAACAAGCGGCTGTAACCATACCTCTGTAGAACACAGGCGGGGCGGGGCCAACCACAGGCTCCACCCCACAGGGGGGAGGGGACAATGCCAAACAAGACCACCCAGGAAGATGGGGAAAGCAAAAAGGCCGGGGGTGCAGAAGCCCTGCATCATGTATGTATGTATGTATGTATGTATGTATGTGGTAGTTGATCTAAAGCTCCCATTGGCATAATTTATATGAGCGGCCAACTGCACAGATAAATATGCCTGAGCGAAAGTTCCCCGATGGTGCCGTGAAAGTTAAGTCTTTTCTGCGAAAGTTCTGTGTTAGCCTACTTGCCGTATTCTTACTACTCGTACTAGTAATACTACTATTACCACTATTTTTTTTCTAATATTACTATAACTATTACTGTGACTATTACGATGACGATTACGATGATTGCTGCTTTTACTATTACTCTTGCTGCTACTCTTGGTGTTATTGATATGTTACTGTTGCTGTTACTGTTACTACCACTATACTACTATACTACTACTGCTACTACTACTACTGCTACTACTATTACTACTATTACAATGACGATGGCGATTGCTTGAATATTACTGTTGCTAGTACTCTTACCTTTACTCTTATCATTACTATTACTGTTACTATTACTAGTACTGCCACTAGTACTACCTCTTGTACTACCACCACTACTACTACTACTACTACTACTACTACCACTAGCACTATGACTTTATGCTCTTGCTACTGCAACTGCTGCTGCTGTTGCTACTGCTGCCGCTACTACTACTACTACTACTACTACTACTGCTCCTACTGCTACTTTTACTACCGTCACGCAATTATTGCCACTACCTGCCATACCTACTACTCAAACACCCACTGCCGACGGCCACTGCCTCCCACCTCTTACGTCCTATCCGCGATTGCTACTGCTAGTCTCCTGCTGTTGCTGCTGACGTTGCTACTATTTCAGCCCAACCGCCAATGCTAGTACTGTTGCTTCTTTTGGTGCTAGTGTTTAAGCAACGACAAACCTCAAAATTAGGTTCCTGTACAGGATTTAGCAAGTAAGTTCCCCGGAAAGTCGCGTTAAAGTCGACGAAGCCAGATCAAGGCCACCCCCCAATGGACATTGTTGGCACAATTGACTGAGAGTTTCTGGGAGCCTTTCTCACAAACTTCAGGGCTTCTGTTGAGCTGCTTCAGGCCGTCCTAGGGATTTTGATGAAGCCTCCGAATCATTAAAGAACCCTCAAAAGAACCCTGCAAAGACCCTTTTAAGAGCAGAAAAGGAACACTCAAAGGAACCCTTCCCAGAATCCTCAAAGGAGTCAGGGTTCTAGCGTGTAAAGGTATGTAAGCATGCTTCCGGGAAAGTTCCGCGACGATGGCGCGAAAGCTAATTTTTTTTATCCGTGAAGGAGGTCATTCCGGGATGAAGCAATTTAGATCAACGACCTTGTATGTATGTAAGTATGTATGATTATGTATGTATGTCTGTATGTGTGTATGTGCTGATGTACGTATGCATGTATGTATGTTTATACGCATACACATACACATGCACATATGCACGAATGTTTTTTGCTTTTTCAGTCTGTCTCGTGCTATTCTGTGCTTTGGTGTGCTATGCTATGCTTTGGCATGCTACAGCAGAAGACGTCACAATGTGACGTAATACTACTCTTAGATCGAATAAAACACAATAGCATGTCATAAGATGGTGCGGTGTAGTATGATGTTGTGCGTGTATACATGCACTCGTGCATACTAGACACATACAGACACATGTCACATGCATACGTTATAGAAAGACATACAGACCCAGAGACGGACGGACAGACCGACGGACAGACAGACGGACATAGGTCGGTGCACTCAGTCGTCATGTCAGGGCCAATCGAGCGCTACTTGCAGCATGGTTCGATGCTCCTTCCCGACGTAGGCACCACTCCCCCTCGTGCAAGGTCCACCATAATGCTGCGCATACATGTATGCATACGTACATGCATTCATACATACGTACGTACATACATACAGAGACGGACAGACACAAATACATGCAAGCAGCTTTGCCTGCATACGCACATGCATAGATACAGTCCTGCATGCATGCATACAGCATAGATGCTTGCCGTTGCATGCGTGCATAACTTAATAACTAAGTGCATGCACACACATATACACATACATACATACGCACATGCATAATTGTACATACATACATATGCATGCAAGCAGCCTTGCATGCACAGGTTCATGCATACATACAATCATGCATACATGCATACAGTGTGCATGCTAGCCCTTTCATGCGTGCAGAACTGGGTGCATACGTACGCCCATACAAACATGCATGCGGGCATGCATGCCTACACGCATACAGGTGCCCTCGCTGAGCTACAGCCCGAGGCCAGGTCTCATTGTCGTGAGGGCTCGTTCTTAATGTTTGGGTTGGAAGGGAACCAAGGTTTAGGGCCAAGTTTCAGGGCTCAAGGTTTGGCTGGAGGTGCTTCAAGGAAGTTGATGAAACACGTGGTGGTTCCGACCTCCGCCGTGTCCTTCACAAGCACGCTCCAAGCAAGGATGCACGGTGGGCGTGTGGTTTGAGGTCGGATTTATAGGGGGGTGTTCAGGGTTTAGGCTCGGATCGGGCGAGCTCCAATCAAGCGTGTGTAAAAAAAGGCTTGGGTCGCTGGAGATGCAGGCTCGCTTGAGGCACATGTTGTTGCTACGCCGCTACGTGAAGAATTGCGCGCTCGCCTGTGCAGCGTGCCCTCGTGAGCAAGAAAGTAGCTTGGAGCGAGCATGGCTAGAGCAGGCCTTGAAGCATTGATTTGGCATACTCCGCACGAGCATGATAATTATTGTCTGTTGAGCCCCGGTGTCTTCACGCGATTCGATGTGGACGGGGTGCACCTTTCTCGCTGGGAAGCCACGAAAGCGAGTTGTGTGAGGATTGTGAGGACTCAGCTGAAGCCGTGCTTTAGTAAGCATCGTCAGGCGCTTCGACGAAGCCCTACCCTCAATAAATAAAATCAATGCTTTCAGGTGGAGTGGTCAGGACCCGCCTAAAGCATTAATAAATCTGCTAAGGCTTTGTCCGGGGGGACAAGTAACAGATTGCTATTGAATTCAGGGTAGCCGGTAGCCGCCGCCCTCTTCCAACTTCCGATGCCGTTACCACCGTTGCTACAGCTGCTGGTGCTGTCACTGGTGCTGCTATTGCTATTGTTTCCGCTGCTGTTGGCACCCTCTTCTGCTGTGTCAGCACCGTTACCAGTGGCACTGCTGCTACTACCATTTCGGGCCAGGCAAGCAAGAGCTTCAATTCTAAAGCTCGAAGGCTCAAAGCGTCGACATCCATATCATCTCCATCTTCGCGCAGACCTCATCTGCCCATGTCTGCATGTCCTGCGGCCACTACGGATGCCAAACACAAAAGCCCGAGTCGTCGCTGGCATTGCCCCTCACCAGCCCTCGCTGACGAGCTTTCGTCCAGCCTTCTCAAGTATGTCGCCGGAATGTCGGGCTTCGAACGTTGTGTCTCACTCTACAAGCGTGTCGAATGCTGCAGTTTTAGCTTACCGGTTCGCACGTCGGAACGTACATCTGCAAGAGGTTCGCATTTTGCCTGATTCTGGGGCTGTGTGCTATTGAACTTCTCAGCATACTCGCGATAAGTTTGGACTTGTGCTGCCATTCTGCCAAAGTATTCAGTCGCTCAGTCGCGAACACTGGTACGCGACCGGGACACGAACGAGATTTTGGAGGGACAATTATGACCAGATCACCGACCCGGACCGGCACACCGACCGGCAACGGGGACACCGACCGGGTTTGCAAATGGGCTCGGGTATGCAGGGTGCAAATGGGCGATTTGGAGCAACACTCGTCGAGGCCTTCTGTCACAGTGAAGAGCTTCGCCATGGCCTCGGGCGGGGCATGATCTCATTTGGGCCAGGGCCTGCTGTGCTTTCTTGGGAGTCTCTGGCAGTCCACGCGTATCCTGAGGACACGCGCTGGACCACCTGGCACGAGCCCAACGGGTCCTTTGCACGATTACCTCAGACGCCAGGAGCCTAATTTGAAGGCCAAGCCGGAGGAGCTACCAGGAGGGGGGGTCAATCAGAAATTGACGCATCCCGGGCCGTGCTGCAGTAGATGCAGGAGTGCCTCGCCCAGGTTGTTGTGGATGGTCTAGAACGTCTGCATGCGGTGAAGCGGACGCTCCAGGAAGACCTCGAGGTGGGCATGACGACTCCTTAAAGAACTTGCGATGCCTGAATGCTTTGCCTGTCGATGAAGATGGCAACCTCCGGCACAGTCAACGAGCGATTGCAGGCAGACTCCACACGAGGGGGGTATGTCGACAGCGCAGTATTTTTCATTCAGTACCAGAAAGATTTCATGACGCACTACCTTGTTGTCGGATGCTTCTTAGCTAGCTTGTCACAAGTGGCAGTGGTACATGAAGGTCCTTCTGAAGTTGCACGCCCAGGTTCCTAGCCTGCCTTTATGCAGACTGCGGTTGTGGATGTTCCGGATTTCACTGTACGAAGGCACTCGAAGAGTGCAGATGCGCAGACGAAAAGTGCTGGGCCCTCGGCCGTGGCTTCGAATGATTAGGCTAAAACAGCACGACCCATGGACCCTACAGAGGCGAGGCAGAGCAACCAGAGATATTGATGTTGCGGAGAAGCATCGCCGAAACCAGCCGTCGAATGCCCAGGAACCCTGGCCGCACTAATCGTGACAAGTCAAGTCTAAAACTGCGCGTTCAATGAAGGGGCGGCAAACTTCATTCCACAGTGCTGAACTGCTCTAAACTAAGTATTTGTGCAGATGCTAAAACAATTGGAAAATGCAGCCATGCACACCGAGCCTACAAGACCTGTGTCTAGTAGCATCAACTGAACATTAGTGTTTGAGCTTGTGCTCAGCACATTGGACCATGGTCGAGAAGTGCATGCTTAAGACGAAGTGATGAATCTTCGTGCGTGACAGTTGTCATACCGATGACCTTCTTGCTTGGACACTTACGATGTGATGGCACTCGACGAAGGATCAAAGAAAATCCTGACGATGAGACATCTCCTCCGCAGGATGTCCTCTGACTGCAGCTAGTGCTCACCTGCACCCAGCTGTTTGCCGGTTTCTGTGCATCAAGGAAGCACCTGAGCATTCTGCAGTGCCGAGGCCCAGCAGATGCGCACACCCTCGCATATACTTTTGAGCCTTTCGATGTTGTGTGCAAAGCAAATCCGCGAGGTCTGGCCGCCTTGCAGCTCTGCAACAGGTATCCAATTATGCTACGGTGCTACGCGGAGCCCAGCCCTTCTTTGAACATGCCACAGGCCCTGGCGCTCCGATCAAGGCAGGCGCAGATCGCTAAAGGATCCCTCCTTTCAGAGGCAAGATGCCCCACATGCAAAACGCGCACACCAGCCAGGGTTTCTCTTTGCTCGTTTATGGGAAGGACAAGCTCCTCTCTGCAGAACTGAATGTTGCAAAGAATGCGTTGAAGGAGGCGCACGGTACTGGCACAGAGGTGGCGCATACGTTGGTCCATGTGGGAGCCCTCCGATCCAGGCCGTCATGGAGGGTCAGCGTCTCGAAGAAATGAAAGACGAAGCGGAAGCAGAGGTCTTTCGGGCTTGCCGGGCGCCACGGCCTTGGGATACCGCCAATGATTTGCCCGTCTCCCTGTCGGCACAGTCAGCTGTAGGACTCCATGACCCTTTGCTCGCACGTCACACGGCCAATAGTCTCGGACGTGTTCCCGTTGAAGCAAGGCTCGCCAGCGTAGAAGACAAAGGCGAAGGCGATGGTGAGTCAGTGAAGAACATTCGGCAAACTGCGCTGGGGTCCCCGATGCAGTCGCTGCTGTAGCTGTTGAAGGCTTTGTTTTTCCGGTGCAGCCCACACATTGGCTGTGGCCGAGGTATCAGAAGGCTGGGATCTTCAGTCTTCCGAAGTGCAGGGCCGGGGCCCGGCTTTAGATTTTGGTGAGGCTCGAGAGGTCGAAGCCTTTGTGGCGAAGGGCCCTGCGGCACCCTGGCGACTCAGTGCCTTGCACCAGCCATCGGGGCCCGGTGCCAAGCTCACACTCGGGCCCGGGGTGCAAACCTGTGATGCCTTGGTGGCGAAGGACTGGTTCGATCGGAACCACGGCCGCATTGCTGGACCCGGAGGCTTATCGGCTCAATCGAGAGAAGGCCACAGCACAGGCTCGGGATCGGGTCAGTGCCGAGACAAGACGAGAGACATGTCCTGAGCCCCCGAAGGCGGACAAAGATTTGGAGGCCATGATCGAGGCATACGTTGCAGAAAAGGAACAGATACAACGTGCTGTTCACGAAGAGGCAGGTGTCAGTAGAGTTCAGGGCGCCTTCCCATGCGTGTCCAGTCTGAAGAGGTTCAGCGGCAAAAGGACGAGGAAGCTCACTTTGCTGCAGAGCTCCAGAGTTTGCGTGAGCAAGGAGCCCAGGCTATTACAAAGCTCGGAGCAGGGCCTCCACTATGTTGAAAGTGCTGCGAAGGTTCATCCTACAGTGTTTCAAGCTTAATCAAGGTTACACAATTTAGTGGACATGGAGAAATGAATACCTCTCCTCTCCGAAAGCAAAAGTTGGAGATCAGATCCGACGGTGCATCTGCAGGGAGAGGCAAGGAATGCACGATCCGCCGGGAATGCTGGAATCGCAATAGTGAACATTTTAACTGATCCAGACGTAGATCGGCATAGCAGCAGCTTGGTGAAGTGCTCATGTATACTTCCATATATATATATATATATACAGATTCATGACTGCAAATGTGTGTATACATGCACACACACACACACACACCTCTACCTACAAACAAAAAAGTGTACATACATGCATACATATGTCTTTGTCCATGTCTGGTTCTTTGTGTATGTTTATTTATATGTATATGTATATGTATATGTATGCGCATATCGGTATGTATATGTGTGTGTATGTATGTCTGTATGCCTATACGTGTGTATTCGTGTATGTGTGCGTGTGTGTGTATTTGTGTAGGCATGTATGTGTGTATGTGTATATAACTGTATATGTGTATACATGTATGTCTATGTCTATGCGTATGTGTATGTATATATGCGTGTATATATATATATATACACATATGTATATGTATTTGCCAGTGCACAGATGTATGTACCTGCATGGTGTGTATATGTAAGTGCAAGTGGTACACATCTGCACGTGTACTGTACATTTACATGGTTTTATGCTTTATCTACTTGTCTATCTAGCTATCTACCTATCCATGAACACACATACGAATGTCTATTTTGATTTGGACGCGTCCTCTACATGCATGCGTGCGTGCGCGTGTTGCTGCTTCGGGCGGCCAGTACTTTGGACCATGCAGTCGATGTTTGAACGCGAACTTGTGTTGACCACGCAACAAGTGCTTACACTATTTTGGCAAATTGCAAAAGTCGGATGATGAACTGATCTCACAGCCGCCTCAGGGAGAGAGCCACAAAGGCTCCGTTGCGCTCAGGGGTATGGAGAGGAGATTGTACGGCATTAAGAAGAGTCGAATGGCAACATACAGTCGAGTGCCTGGATTGGATCATCGACCCTCTACCTCTGTTCCAGCGTATTCACTGCAATCATGTAATGTCGACAGTAGAATATCTGTGCCCATGCCTGGCCGGCCTAACATAACTTATCGAGAAACAGTGGTGTCAGAAAGACTTCGACTTGCTGGTGTAGAGTGTAGAGTCGAGGCAGTTTGACAAAACAGAGGACCGCTGAAGTTTGTCACACACCCATTGCAACACAACGTTGCTTACAAGCGAACAGCGCGCAGCACTCACAAGAGTCTTACTATGCAAAGCTGGACGAGTTACATGATTCCGTGTCTGGGGCACGATTCACCACTAATGTCCAACATGCCTGAGAACTCTTACCTGTTCCTTCAATGTTCTTTCTACCTTTCAACCTAGCTGCGAAGGTTTCACAGTGTGATATTTTTGCTGGAGGGGTTTGCCTCCACTGTAGTCTTGTTACAGCATGAGCACTTCCAGGCAGAAAGCGTGGAGAACGGGTCGTTCTTATGTTTTTGCTTCATGGCGATGCGGGAACGGCAAGGTTCGCTCAGGCCTAGTTGTCGTGCTGTTGGGACAACAGTTATTTTCAATGTTCTCCGTTTGATAACTGACTTGTACTCTCGAAGCCCTGCAGTGCAGAAACAGTTTTCAGGGCAAGCCCAAAGACATGCACATCAAAGGCACATCAAGGAGCGACGTCACGGCATCGACACCGCCCTGGCGGCCCAGAGTTCCGAGAAGGATCAGCGTTTGCTTGAGGCGCCTGGTTGAGGGAACCGGAGACAAAGGGGCGGATGAGCACATAGATTGGGCAGGGCCTCATTGGCTGTGAAGTTGAAAGGTCAAAACTGTCAAACCTCGTTTTTGCAGATTGCACGCTAGCAGACCGGCAGGCCCAGCGGCAGCTCACCTTGGAATTGCGGCAGATCGAGTCCCAGGAGCGCAGCAACCAGGAGCGCTTGCTGGCATGGCAGCTCTGACACATCTCACTGCTGCCTGTCTGGATGTAGTTTCGCGATGAACTGTCGTTGTTGAAAGCTTCGTGGCCTTGGCTCCGCAGTGCTGGCTCGCACGATGACCACGCAGCCTTTAGTTTGATTGTTGCCCATTTACATGGCCAGACCAGGGTCCAAAGGGTCCTAAAGCCGCTTCTTTGCATGAAGTCTTTTGATGCCTTCGCGAGACCGGTACAAGAGTTCCAAGTGAAGACGGCAGTAGGAGGTTACATCTCCATCGGATCTATCTGCTTAGTAGCTGCGCTTTTCCTTTCTGAGCTGCGCTACTTCTTGACGCTGGAGACAAAGGATGAAATGCTAATTGACCAGAGCCAGGAGCGAAAGTATTTGAACATGTCCTTGGACGTTACCTTTTCTTCCTTGCCGTGCTCGGTGTTGGCTGTAAATCTTCTGGACCCTAAGCAGAACAACGTAATGCATGTCGCACATGAAATTTTCAAGGAGCGGTTGACATCAACAGGAGAAGTTATTGGCAAGCCCATCCGCGACGGTCTCCAAAACGTGGCCATGACGCCCGCAGACTTGGCGACGGTCTTCCGAGACCAGCAGGCCAAAGCGAATCACTCTTCCACACGCTTCCGGTGTCCCTCGTGCTTTCAGAGCCTATTCGATGAGGATTCCTGCTGTAATTCCTGCAAAGAGGTTCGGGAGGCTTTTCTGAATCATGGATGGGACGACCGACCCGATGATTATATATTTGCTCAGTGCATAGATGAGGCATACCAGCGGACAGCTGCACAGATAGGAGAAGGCTGTCGTGTGAAGGCAAACCTGCACGTTCGCAAAGTCCCTGCCACGCTGCACGTCGGCATAAGCCAACGCATCAGACGAGATCTGGTACGTGCGACCAGTGTGGCGGAGCTGACAGTTGGTGCCGATTTCACGCACCACATCCACAACCTTACCTTCGGCCCGGACTTTCCAGGCCTGGTTCGGGTGCTCGACGGCAGACATAAGTCGAGCCATCAGCCACCTTTGTCCGAGCACTATCAGTACGATGTCCATGTCATACCGACTCGATACCTCGAGGATGGGTCTGAGGAGATTGCGGGGCACCAGTATAGTGTCACGGAGTATGTGAAAGCCGTCGATGCGACACATCCTGGCCACGAAGTTGCGACGACAGGGATTTGGATGAGCTATGATTTCACCCCGTTTGAGGTTCGTGTTACCAGCAGCCGGAAGAGCTTGTTCCATTTCTTCACAGAGTGTTGTGCTATCCTTGGGGGCATTTTTGCACCCTGACCCAACATTGTTTGCAAAAGCAGGCTGGTCAAGCAGCTTAGGCGACGTAATATCGAGTTGGTAGGCATGTGCGTACTTGTCCTGTTGTTATCTATTGCTATGTGTGCGGCACTTGACTACCGAGGCATTCTCGGGAATGTTGGACGGTTTTGCCCATCAGATCCACAAGTCGCTCGAGAATGGATCGCGGCGGGGCGTGCTGGAATGAGTGAGTAGTGAGCATCTAGCTGCCCGATTTCGCACCCGATCTGGTATTATACAGCTTCTGAAAGAAACCTGTTGTGTTTCTGCGTGGGAGGCTGCTGCTGCAGTGGGCAAGCTAGGAGGAAAAAAGGTGCTCTGTTTCGCTTACCAGCTGACCATGCAATAGGAACTTTGCGAATGGCCACATCTTGAATTTCTGCCTATGTGGGTCGATATTATGCAAGAGCACGCAAAGACCCAAGCAAGGATAGTTGCCCAGTAGCATTGCAACGGGACGACTTCGATTTGGCCGAGCAGTTTGCCGATGTTTGGTAGTTTAGATTGCAACATGCTGGGAACCCCAAGGGGTAACTTTTGAGAAGAGCGCGGAGAGCAAAGGCAAGAGGTTCTCAAGACCGAAGAAGTGGACAGGTCACCCAGCAGAGCGAGGGAGATGGGCGATCGAACGAAAGGTGCAATGCAGCCTGCCGACGCAACAAGTCGGTTGGTGCGAGACAGTTCCACCTCAGCGAGACCAATTCGAATGAGGTTTCTTCGAGAACAAAACGAGCGAACCGAAAGGCAAAAGCCAGAGAACAAGACAGAGGTCCGAGCCGGATCAGTGGCGTGATGTCGGCGCCGAAAACTCGCTTGCTCGAAGATACCGTGCCGGGACGACGGACACTATCTCTCCGGCAGTGCTGGTTTTGTCAGATTCTGCATACATCGTCGGCTGTTAGGGATGTGCGCCAAGCACTCAGGCACACTCAGGCCCTCAGGTTCATAGCTAAACTTGCGCTCCTGCGGTGAGGAGGCGTTGAGGCAAGAAGTACGCAAAGCTCGTCAGCGACTTGTTGCGTCCTCATGTGCTGTTCCAGTTCCTGGAAGCAGATGTCGTTGGCTTCGGGATTCCAGTTGCGCAGTGGACCTTCTGTCTCCAGGCCCAGGCAGCCGCTTGTGCAAAGCAGCAGCTCGATCTTCGGCTCGCGAAGGTGGGCTTCGTTTGACTTTGGATGCCTTGGCTGAGTTGAAGGCACGTACATTGTTTCGCAACCGCAGGTCCGCACAGACTGCCGCGAGATGCTTCGCTCTACGGCGATGCAGTGGGAGAGGGCTGTTATGCGGGAGCGGCAGGCCTTGCAGGACACGTGCGTGTGTGAGAGAGATAGCCTGCTGTGTGGATGAATACCACGTCAACACGAAGCTTCTTCCATCTTTCCTTCTCGGATGTCAGGAGGCGAAAGAGCGCCGTGAACACTGGCAAAAGCGGTTGAAATCCTCCAAAGATGCCTTCCGAGGCCACTGCGTCAAGCAGAGCCCCCAGCATGCTGGAGTGTTGTAATACGCCGCTGCCTTTGCAGCAAGCGTTTGCAGCTCAGCCCAAGGACCGGAGTGTATGCCTCCTTGCTGCACCTGGCATGCTTGACGTTCCTGCTTCTCAGTGACTCTGGTCAACAAGTTGTCGTGCAACTAAGAGTGTGTAAGCGGAGACCTGGCCTTCTTGTCATAACTTAACTATAGACACCCTCGGACCACCCAGTCGCGTTTTCAGGCGGCCCGTCGCCTGTCAGGGTTGAAATCCGTCTTGAGGCGCGCACCCTGGATTCGACTCGACGCCGCATTCTGGACTCCCTGGTGCCCAGGGGGAAGGCTGTTCCTCATAGTGAACTGGTAACTAGTATTGTGTGGGCCATAAGAAGTCCCCAGCAGGTCGGCGACGTGTACTCCTGGGATCCGAAGTCCTGACAGCGAAGCAGGCGAAATCGTTTCACGTCCGTCTCACTATCACAAGCGAGAAACAGAAAGCGGCGTGCCTCAAGGAATACGAATGCTCCAACCAAGGCAAGCCTTGGCAAGCGGATTTTTGCTGAGGCACGGAGGAAGCTGAAAGCGCCGGTGTCGCGGTACGAGCCGGGCCCCCTTTGCATGGAGTTCTACCCACGTTCGGTCTACACATGGTGTCAGTGCAAGTCGTACGCCCGAAACAAATGCGCTGTCGCGACGGAACAGAGGCTTCGAGTCTTCTGGCGGCGACTTGATGAAGACAACAGCGGGCAAGCATCCGTGGAGGAGTTTGGGCAGCCGCCTTGGTGCACTGGGCCACACGCGCCCGAGAGCCAGACTGCTTGAAGCTCTGTAGGACTCTGTAGCCGCTCTGTAGCCTCTAAACAGGCGGCTCATGTACAAGATCGAACTTAGCCAATGGCTGGCCCCTCTGAGCCTCTGCCGTAGTTCCGTATTGTGATGCACCATTTCCACGAGGCCGGATCTGACCGATGATGAAATTTGGCGAGTGGCCCTTGTCCCCATTGCTCCCTTTGATCACTCAGATCTGCTCAGCACATGACTGGCCCAGGTTGGCGTGCTGAACCAGGCAGCTCACAAGTGGCACCGCGCGGGTGGCAATTGGTGCTCCCGATCTAGCCCTGTTCCAATCGGTCGTGAAATACGCAAGTTATTGAGGTTCAAGATCTTCAACCAGATCGATGCAGATGGAAGTGGCAATCTCTCTTTCGATGAACTGGTACAATGTGTCGAAACCTTGGCAGAGTTGCCACAAGCCACCAAGAGTCAACGCAAGCTCGACGATGCCAAGAGGTCCGTGGAACCTATCCTTGCCTGAGAGTACCGACCCGTGATGTGAAAGAGCGCGAGTTGCCAGATTCTCAGAGCATGGCGAAAATGTGTACAAGCAAAAGGCTCTACGTCGATTCTAGCTTGCTTCTGCTGAGGCAGGGACTTTGGAAGGCAGACAGCAAGCTGCTTGGCCACATCGGACGGAGACAGGAAGTGCTGTGAAGGCCTTGGACGACACGGGCAGCATCGAGGTCCCTGTGCACCGGTTCATGGCACGGGCCTCGGACAGTCTTCGTCGTTATGTCGAGTAACATGTCGAAGCAGAGCTTTGGCCATAGGTGTTCATGCGAAGATGGAGCGTTTTGAGCTGAGATGAGCTGCGCATGGTTGTTCTGTCGCTGTTGAGGGTTTCATGTCTTTTCCTGGATCTCTGCTTGGCAGCAGGCCGATGCTAGCTTCAAAGAACAAAAGCAAAGAGCCCCGGCCAAGTCCTCGCCGGGCCCTTTGCTCGACAAGCCATTCTTGGGGAGCTGCTTTCTAGGCCCAGGCCTGTCCATAAGCCTGGATTGTGTTGCGTTGTTGCGTGTGCTGAGGTTGCCGCCCGTGTCCGAGCGGTCCGGCGCGGAGGTGCGTGGGGTGGCTCAGGCCTTGGAGCCCGGAGCTCAGAAAAACCTAGCCTACCGGCGCCTGGGCCGTAGAGATATTCTACTCTCAAGGCCGTTCGTTTCAAGCCCGTGGAGTACGTTTGATCACGGCTGCATGGCCAGGCGAGCATTGTCATCCTACTACATCGACAAGGGCTACCTCAGTGTCGCCAGTGCATGCCACGAGCCCAGCGTGGCTGCAACCGGCTAAGAGCATAGGCTCATCTGTCAAGGTGAGGCAGCAGCGTGGCAGGGTGGTGCCAAAGTCAATGCTCCAGCCTTGGATTTCAATTGAACAGCTCCTGATAGATCACTTGAGCGTCTCGTGTCCGCGAGGGAGCGGGCATGGCGCGAGAGCCAAGTGATTAGGCTCGCATCTGGCCGCGCACGCGAAGGAAGGAGGAAGGCAGGCACGCAGGCAGGCAGACAGAGAGGGAGGCAGCGAGGGAGGGCAGAGATGTCTTGCTGTTTCATTCGTTTGTCGTTCGTCAGGGAAAGCCCCAGAAAGCGAACCCCCTTTTGAATATCCTGTGTCCCTCAGAGAAGCTTTTCGGGAGAAGCAACAGGCCCGCTGCAAAGAGCGGACGAGAAGGAGAGAGACAGAAGGCAAGCACGTTTCCAATAACGGTCGATGTCCCCGTAGAACTGTATCTGAAACCCAATTTGCTTCTATCTCGAGGAAACATCGCAGCATCACGCCCCTTCAGGGCCCATGTGGCCGAGCGGCCTGACAAGCTGACAAGCCCCTTTGCCCTAATGAAGAAGATCTTGGTGTTTGGACATCGGATGGAGCTCCCTTTTCCAGCAGGTGCAGGACCTGCCGGGGAACCCCAACCATCCCGACTTCAGGTTGTTTCTCCAACCAGGTAAATTCCAGGATCGGCGGCAGGAGCCATCCGAGTCCTTTGCATCTGTGGGTTGCAAGAACCTTTGACTGCACGGACGAAGGTTTGCACGCGTCGCTCGTAGCATCGCAGCCTCCTTTATCTCACGGGCAAATTTATTTTACTCTGCATGGGGGCCATGATTTCCTGCGTGGTCACCATTTGTTCTGCATGAGGGATTGTCGGGGCTTGATGAATGCGTCAAATCTATTCCGCATGGATGCTGCTAGTTCTGCATGATAGACGCGGGTCGGTCTGCATGACCGCATGCACCAGCTCCACCCAAAGAGTTGTCTGACTGTTCAGAGACTGCCCAGGGATCGGTACAATGAGCCGTGGGTTCTGGAATTCTATGGTGCCACAATGAAGTTTGATGGCATCGGAAGCCTGGAAGAACGCGAAGTCTTCAGGATATAGAGATAGAGGACTCTGCGTCGTGTGAAATGTGGCGATGTGGATGTGGCGAGTGCGATGCAGCAAAATTGTGACCTCTAAGATCGTGGAGGGATAGACTCTGCTTTTGTAGCCGCCAGGGCTAAGCACCCTGTTGGGGCCGAGTCAGGTGGGAGGCTTAACAAAAATCATTTTCAAGAGTCGCGGGGGGGGGGGGGGGGGGGGGGGTTGGGGCACACTGCACACTCCTAGCTTCTTTTCAAGACGGGCCGGTGAGCCAAGCCTACCCGATCCCTGGGAGAAACCGCTATCCGGAGCATGTGCTAAGGCATGCTGCGGGCAGTTTCAGTAGCCGGTGCTGCATGGGCACAGCTGGGTCGTAGTTCGTGTCTGATTCCCTGGCCGTGGCTGGGCTGTCGGTTGGGGACTCCCTCACTGGTTGTGCTCAGTTTCAGCGATTCGGGCTGTCTGCTGAGCCAGTTCCGTGTGGATAATGTACTCCTGGTCCTGCAACCGGAACGTAGAACGGTGAGTTCGGCTTTGGGAGGGTGGCTTAGTGACTACAGGTGTCAGTTTTGGTTGTTCTCCGATGGGAGAATGCGAGCCCCTCCAGCCCTGGGACTTGCGCCTGTCTCTACTACAGTGTTGTTTGGACGAGTTACCTGCGGTGCGACTTTGTCAGCGGGGGGGTGGGGGAAAAACCGAAGCCGAGCAGTTCGAAGACCCTCCCTTGAGTGCGTGCTTTTCCGGGCCCGGGATGTGAGGTCTTTCAGGTGCATGCGCTTTGGTTTTCCTGCACCTGTGACTTGCTTGGGGGAACACGCTCACATGCTGGAGGCGGATGGCGGACCAAAGGCAAGGGGCAGGTTGCTCCCCGTCGAGGGCAAGCGCCAGGGCAAGAGAAGAGGGAGACAGAGAGGCCCTCAGGCCCGAGAAGCTGGACCAGCTGCTCATGACCAGAGAGAGAGCGAGAGGCAAGCTGCCCGGGGGTCTTGATCGTAGTGCCCGAGAGAGAGAGAGAGAGAGAGAGAGAGAGAGAGAGCGTCAGCATCACTTAAAGGCGAGGCGACCGGCAAATGCAACAAGAATGAAGCGGTGAGTCTGTAGCGCTGGTTTCTGCCCGAACCTCCAGAGTGCGAGAGAGAGAGAGAGAGAGAGAGAGAGAGAGAGAGAGAGAAAAAGAGCTTGACCCCAGTGAAGTGAAGTGAAGTGAAGAGGGAGAGTCCAATTTCTGGTGGTTCCCGCCCTATGACTGGGATAATGGGGAACTAAGATCGTCCAGATACTAGATGCTACCGTCAAGATTCTGCGAAACTTCAGCTGGACTCCCTGAATTAGATGTCATAGATGTCGACCGAGATTTGGATCTCCCCAAATCTTAGCATTGAGACCAGTCCGAGCTGTGAGAGCGTACATGACCTGAGATTCTTAGCCGGCCTGCCAGCGCGAGGCTCCGAGGGGAAGGCGCCAATTCGATCGTCTCATCGGTCTCGCTTGACCAGAGCGATTCCCTGGACTGGCAGCGATCCACGGTTCACGTTTGAGCGGAAGATCGAAGTGGGGCGGTTGGACACGAATTTCCACCCCGGCAGGGGCAAGACCGATAAACGGGAGGTGCATGAGATGTGGGTCGCTCTGCCGCCATCCCCATAAAGCCTTCTATAGCTTCGTGGAATCTTCGGTAGCTCTGCTTGCTTACGACTCGAGGTCAGTTCTCGAGTATTTTACAGTTCCTGAAAGGCCTTCGTGCCAATAGGCAGCCAACACCTGCACGTGCATTTGGTTTCGCGAAGAGAGCAAGAAATGGAGTGATGCAAAGGACACCGCTTGCAGCTGGACACGCTTTTTTATGGAGTGCGTGACTGAGCCACGGCATCCCTAGAGTTTCTTCAATTTCGGCACAGCTGAGGATGGACAAAGACGGAAGCGGCCGCTTGGCTCGATGCTCGGTGCGGCTCAGGGTTCCTACCAGCTGAACAGAGTGCATGTCTGCGCGATCTTCGTTCGCTGCAAGCTGAAGTATTAGCCTCAGGGCCTGTCCGCCATGTTTTTTGACCTGTGCCCAGCGTGTTGCACTTACTCGGAAGACCCGGGAAACACGACGGTCCAGCGAGTGGTGACTGAGAGTTCACTGGCCCCCGTCCTGCTGCCCGGCCCTGGCAGCCCTAGCAGCGCTGGCAAGGATGAATATAAGGACCTGCAAGTGGTGTGTCCTGCACCTGCGCTTGATTCACGTGATCTTGGCCCCGCGGAACCCACAGCCCCGTCCTCCGAGGCGACAGCAGTATTGCCGCGTTTCCAGTTTGATCAGGCTGAGATTCTGGGGTTATTCAACGTGAGCTTCGACTTTCGAGAAGGGCAGCTCCTTGGCTTGGAGTTTGACATGGTTGACTCGGACGTGTGCATCGTGAGTGTTGTCCGTGCCTCGGGGCTCGTCGAAGCCCACAACAACAAGGAAGGCCTTCCGGCTCATCAGCAAATTCGGCCTTTCGACCAGGTCATCGCCGTGAACGGCACTTTGGTCTTAAAGTCTCAAGATTTGCCGAAACAGCTCCAAATGGCACAGTCCAGCACGGATTCGTCAGTGACGCTCTCTTTCAAGCACCCCGAGAAGTCTGAGTTTACGATCGATCGACAGGGATCTCTGCTAGGCATTGGACTCGCCGCAAGCAGGGCCACGCCTTCGATTCTCGTTAAGAAAATAGAAGCTGATGGAGCAATGAGTCGGATGAACAAGGCGGATGGTCGAACATACCTCATGCCACATGACAGGATCATTGAGGTCAATGGTAAGAACTCCACATCCGATCGTTCGGCAATGGCACGTTCATTGGCAGAGAATGTGGTGAAGATCACAATTTGCCGGTACTACCTCCCGCAGCCGAGAAGCTGCAGCACATGACGACCGAGATTTAATCCATACTGCGAAATTGTGCATGGAATCGCCTGCGAACGGCTCGTTTCACCGGTAGGCTTCATCTCAGGCAGAACCGACGTCGGAGCGGAGTTTCACACGGGTTCTGGAAGGAATCACTCTCCGTCGGCGTGCCGGCCAAAGACAGCCGCCCCCAATCTTCGAGGCCTTCTTGAAAACAGTTGAGATTGTCGATGTTCTGTGCATGCTTGTGGCAGCATGCAGCAGCCACCTTGCCCAGAAGCCCTGCCCTTCGATGCCTCCCTCGTGATCTCAGTCTTACGGCGAGTTCGTGCGTGCGGTGTTCTCAAAGCTCAAGACCTGGATGGATCCAAAGGTGCGAGCCACCAGCGACGCAAGAATAGAAAAGTCTATCAGCTTTCGCAAGAAGCCCGGAAGTCATCCCATGACTGCCAGGTCTCCCTCCCGGTGGGAGGAACTGGGCGCAATGTGCAATGCACCCAGAATCGATCAGAGGCTGAAGTTCGGCTGAATTCGCTGCGTCAGCTGAGCCATGCGGCAGCTATTCTGCTACACCATGTTGATTGCTCTAGGGCCTCAGCGACTCGCAGCCCCTGGCCTTTTTCAAGCACCAATGACAGTATTAAGTACGTAAAAGGATTGTTCATCAGCAACGCCGCGACATGATGCAACGGCAGTGGCAGGAATATTTGAAGCGCCGTTGTGCTGGAGTGTTCTGTCGAGCCATGGGAAGGAGGAGTTGAAGCCCGACCGCCATGCAGGAATCCAGGGATTCATGAGCATCTATTGCTCAGCAAAACATGCAGCTTACTGGAATTGGGTTGATGTCCTTGCCGCTTTTGCCCAGAACGCTTAAAGGTTTAACATGGAAGAACTGACTGATCCAAGCGGAGGCGTAGTTCAAGGTGCCGGCCAGTGACCAGTGAGAGACCAAGTAAGTCGCAGATCTTCATTCCAATCTTTGGGCTATCGACGACGTGCGACAAACGGGCGTGCATCGAACCAAATGGTACGGTTCCTGAACACAAGAAAGCCCAGTGATCATCCGATGGCCTTCAAGGAGCCACGTGAAGCATGTTGAGCTCCCACAAATCACCGTCCCTGTCGGCGAGGCTGCCCTGTCGGGTCCATGGTGAGCTTTGGTGTGGATCGTCGCGTCTCCTCCATTGCCCAGCAGGCCTCTTGAGAGTTAGGCTGGAATGTTTGGATTGTGAAGGTCTATGGGGTTTAGGGTTCAGCTGAAGCTTTTGAGTTTAGGGTTTAGGGGGTTTTAACCAGGCGGCCTTGCAAGCAAGCCTGCAGCAAGAAGGGGGGTCTTAAGGTTAAGCTGTTTAAGGCTTCGAGTCGACAAGGGCTTAGGGAGGGTTTGGTGTGCAGGTTCGTTAGGCGGGTTTAGGGTTGCGTGTATAGGGTGTAAAGTACAGCTTAGAGTTAATACAAGCAGGAGCACGCGCTATTTTTTAGGGGTTTACGGCTTGCGGCTTGCGTGGGGCTTGCGTAAGTTCCCGGCCCTCTCTGCAAGCAAGCAAGCAAGAAACCTGCTGGTAGGCAGCCAAACTGCAGCAGAGTTGGACGCTATGGACGACCCAGCCGGGGGACAAACAAACACAAAGACATCCTCTTAAAAGCAGTGCAAGCAGCTCAACAGCTACGCAACCGGGGCGAGTACAGATGACTACCGATGCTCAGTGTATCACATATGCCACGGCAGCGCCCATGGTCGACGAAATGCTGCGCTGGCTGGAAACTCTGCAGCCGGGGGACATCGCCATCCATGTGCAGCTTCCGCCGGTGCTCACTACGAGAAGTGCTCAACGCAATCCTCGATGGCACCGCAAGGAGGACAGTTTGGGCACGACTGGTGCCCTGGACGTACTCATTTCCGGGGAAGTGCTTACACACCGGTGGGCCAAGCACATGGGGGGACTGAAAGCCACCTGAGGTCGACGGAGGTACCACCGCCAGCCTGGTGCCATGCGGTGGACGTGGTCCGTGAGCAAGTTGTTCGTGCAACTTGTGCAGAGTGAGCCAAGAACAAAGTTGAAGAAACAGAGTCAAGACCCCTCAAGATATGAGACAATGAGGTTGTTGCAGGAACAAAAAGAAACTCAAGAAAAGAAGCAAAAAAAGATGCAAGAAGAGTGCCACTCCGATGAGAGGGCAGGGCCTGGGGCGGCCACAGGGTTGTTCCAGGTTGGTTTGGTGGGTTCTGTGTTTGGGGTTTTGCCCTTGCACAGGCTCCTCACTTGAACTTTCAGGGTGGCCTTCGATGACTACGCAGTTCGACACCGGCCCCCTTATGGGCCCCCAATTCAGTGCATATGACAAACCGGTGCAGCCATGGCAGCGGAGTCGGAGCGGCGCGGGCTTACCTTGCGCTAACTCCACGACTGCAATACCTTGCGTTCCTCGGCTACCAGGCCGAACTGTAGATGCCGGGCACTCTTGGCAAGAAGTTGGGTCTTACTTCTTGGGTTCTGTGCTTGAGCATGTTCCTGTTCGTTCCATTTGGTTTTCGCTTCGGCAGTGGGTTTACCCATTTTCGGAGCGGGCTAATGATGCAGACCCTCTCTCACTGCTGCTTTGGCTGTGGGGTGTGGGTTTCCTGGGAGTTCTCTGGGATAGGTTTTGTGAGTTTCAATGGCGAAGGGCTAAGCTTCTCGCTAGGAAGCGTAGAGCAAAGAAGCGTCGACGTGCGCGGAAGCGTGCGCCGGGGCAGTTACCCCGCCTCAAGAGGGAGGTGAGGGCCTGGTGGCCAGGGCCACCGCGAAAGCATGCGGCTCAGGCAAGGGTCTGCGGCCTTAGACGGTTACGACAGGTACGGTATCGACCGGTGCGCCTTGGTTTGCAGTTGAGGCCTCAGTCAGACGGTGCGCGTGCTTGTGCTGTCACGTCAGTCGTTCGTGCCTTGGGCGTACTGTATAGTCGGTTCAAGTACGGCCGCTGGCTCAGTCAAGTCAACGGCACTCTTCGAGGTGGAGGCCTGGCAGAGGACTTGTCTTCTGTCTTAGGCATGTACGCTGAGGTTACCAAGTCACAGCCCTCAGTGCGTCAGGTTTCTTACTGCGGCAAACCGCGCGACAACAGTGCTGACCAGAAGCGTGCGCGTAAGCTCATGGTGGTGCTTAAGGAGTGCTTGAACAAACAGGCTTCGGACGCTGAGGTTGCCTTTCAGGTTAGGGCTGAACTTGAAGCTTCCGCGCAGCATGCTACCGTTCGCAAGTCGTCTTCCGCTCGAGCGCATCAGGAATGGTGGGACTCCGGGTGGGATAGTTCCTGGGATGGATGGGAATCTTGGGAAGGGTGGGCTGAGGGTAGCGCGGGTCACAATAGTGGGGGGGTGGATTGGCAGGACTGGTCTGCTCACACTTCGGCTTGGCCTAAAGGTCAGAACAACAAAAAGGACGCTCAACACTGGGCAGGTCAGGGTGCTCAACCGCTGCCGGGCAAACAACAGAACAAGCACAACACGTTGGCCGCTGCTTCTGCCCCTGCTGCTCCTAAGGTGACTGGCCTCAATCAGAAAGATTGGGCGACACGATCCAGCTTGCCTCGGTTAAGGGGGTCACTGAAGGCGGTTCGGGCCTTTCAGTCTTGCAAGGGTAATGTGGTCTACGTTGAGTCTTCTGATGAGCTCATGCTTTTGAAGTCGCTTTGGACGACCTTCAAACCGAACTTTGGAATCACGGTCATAGTTGGAGGTCACGCCAGACTTTCGACGGAGGGCCTGGTCCACTCCCGCGTTCAGCTCACACGCCAAGGCCGCGGCGCTAAGTTGAGGATGTGGGTTTGTTGTCTCCAGGGCGAGGACCGTGGATCAACCCCCAAGGTGAAGGCCCCTAGAGAAAGACTCCAGAGTTCCGGTCCTCGCAAAACCTGGGGACAAGAGAGCCCCTGGACACTAAGGTTCAGGAGGAGCAGTCGCCCTCGGCTGGGCAAGGTGGTCCAAGCAAACGGGTTGAGCATGATCGTGTTAGGAGTCGGAGTTGGCCTGATCCTGACGAGGCTGTCTCGTTCGAGCCTCCTACTCCTGAGGTCATGGATTGCCAGGAGCCCGAGGCAAGCTCACACAGACTCCTGGGGACCCAGCGTCCCTTGCTGAGGCTCTGAGGGCCGATTGGTGCCTTGTCAGTGACGAGCTGCCAGGGTCATCCAATAGTGGCACGGCTTCTGTCGCTCCCTGCCCATCTGGGCAGTCGTGTCTTGGCTCGCCTCAGGTGAGCACTTGTATCGTCGGGCCTGCGGCTGCTAAGGACAAGCAGGCCCGACCCCTAACAGCAAAACTTGTCTCGTGCAACGTAGGGGGTACCACTGGTGCCTATGCTGCTGTCAAAGAGTGGCTGTCCGTTGACGTTCACGATGTTGTTCTGTTGCAAGAGCTTCACATGTAATGGAGCACATTTCAGTGTAAGGCTCAGCGATGGGATTTTCAAGCGTACTATCAGAAAGGGGGCGCTAGCAGAGATGGGTGGGGTAACCCTACTGTTCGTGGTGGCGTCGCCGTGTTCGCGTCCAAGCGCTTGCCGCAGCGGCTGGAGTTCAGTGATGCTCGCCAGCGTTCCCAGCTCTTGATCGTCGCCGTCGGTGGGGTCCACTTTGGGAGCATGTATGCTCCTCCTGGGCACGAAGGTTTGCTTCAAGATGAGCTCTGTGAGTTACTTACTCTCTACAACAGAAGTTATCTGGCGGCTGCGGCCCAAAGGTGGGTCATCATCGGTGGTGATCTCAACGAAGAATTTTCCGATTCCGCGATCATTGAGGGGGCCAGGCTCTTAGGCTCGGCCGTTCCACTCGATGGGACAGTAATCGTGAAATCGACTTCTTTCTCGCTATAATCGGCCCGAAGAGGTTCAAGCTCTTCGTGCGGGCCAAAGCCGACTGTCTGATCACGTGCCTTTGCACACTAGCACTAAGTTGCGATGTCGCGAGTCTCGCAGAGGCATGTTTCGTACTACGCCTGACTTCTCCAAACCTCCGGGAGTCACAGCAAAAAGGTGGACACAGCTTTCAGCGGAGGCTTGGCAGGCCAACCTTGAGGTCTCCAGTTTTCTCGCCAGGCTTTCTGGGCGTTCTAAAGAGGACCCCGCTCCTGCTTGCCTTGTCAACGAAGACGAAACCGTTGCTGAGTCGTTGGAACAGGGGGCCTTGTTTGTCCGAACTTACTGGGGAACCTTCTGGCAAAACCACTCTGCTGACAAGCCGTCTGAGGATGAAGTGTATGCCGTGCTCCGTCAGGGCTTACCCCAGTGTAGACCCGTCGACAAACCTCCTCCTTCCACTCAGGAGTTGCTTAGGCATGCTCGGGCCCCGAAAGGCTCTTGCGGGCCAGACGGCTGGACAGGTCCCGAACTGGCCCACATGAACATTCACATGCTTGATGCTTTTCGTAGGGTTGCGCTTAGGTGGCACCTGGTAAGGCCGTCGGAGGCAAGCTCAAGGTTGCTTACTCGACCCATAGGCATGCTCAACACATTTTGGAGGTTGTGGACCACGGCTTGGACCAAATCTGATGGCATGATCGCGGCACTTGCCTCCCGAAATCCGCGCTAGGGCGGGCCAAGCTGTGCCTGCGGTCGCTTCGTCCATCCTCGAAGAGTTTCATACTCAAGGGCTGCTTTTGAGTTTAGATTGGCAGCATGCAAGACTTCGGCCTCCCCAAAGGGCTGGCTGACATATGTTGTGACCTTTGGACTCATCAGGTTCGCTGGATCTCGTGGTCTGGCACCTGCTGCGAACAGCCCTTGCACACCAAGGTGGGGGTGCTTGAGGGCGACCCGCTAGGACCCCTGGTAACCGCCGTCTGGGCCACTTGTGGGTCGAACCTTGTCAAGCGTCGGCTTCCTGAGCATGTCCGTGACGATGCTAAAATCGCTGTGTTCGTTGACGACAGAACTGTTACAGTATTGCTTCCAAGCCCGAGACCATTGTCGCCTCTAAGAGCGAGTGGCTCCGCTGGAGTAATCAAGTCGGTCTCGTTGAGAATGCAGGGAAAGTCGTTGTTGCGGCCGCTTCTGCGGCTGAGACCAAGGCCGCTGAAGACTACGGCCTCGCTGAGTTCGTCAAGCCTTATGCTAAGGTGCTGGGGGTTTGCCCGGCTGCGAAGTGCAGAACTTCAACTAAGGATGAGAAGGAGCGCCTGGGCAAGACCCTGCGCACGCTGCGTTTGCTGGCTACTGCTCAGCTGCCTTTTCAGAGGTACCACGCTGCCGTCGCCACCTATGCTATGCCCAAGGCTAGCTATGGGTGGTTTGGTCGTCGTCCTACTGAGGATGAGGCTTGTAAGCTGTGGGCCCAAGTGCGCAGAGGCGACGGCGTATGTCGCTTGGCCAACAAGTTCATTCGCGGTATGCTCCTCAGTGGGTGCTCGCACCTCGAGCTTCTTGCTACTCGACACTTGATGTCTGCTGTCACGGCCTCGGATGACAGAAGTGACCTTAGATGGAACGGGCCTCGTGGACACCCGGTTCACATTTTGCGGGGTTCTCTGACGGACCAGGGCTGGTCTGTCGCTACACAACTCTGGCCAACGCCTTGATCTTAGAGTCGGGTGGCTGCCCCACGCTAAGGCTGCTCATGTGTTGCGTGAGGGGTGGAGGGCCCACCTCTTTGGCCGCTTTCTTCAGTCTAACAGACGTGAGACTTCTGAGTGGCATGCTTTTGGCTGACTGGAGACATGAGTTCCGTAAGGTTGCTCTTGAGCCTTCTCGGAAGTGGTTGTTCTCTGAGCCGCGGCTAGTCCTGCTTGGCAAGTTCCAGGGTCTTCGGACCGTTGTCTCTGGGGATGTGGTGAGCTCGGTCACTGGGACAGGACTCGTCGTCGGCGGTGACTGTCATCCGACCCGGCTTCACTTTTATGCTGGGAGGGCGACCGTGGCCTTCGTCTTCCCCGAGTTCTTGCAGATGGTGGTTCGGCAGCACGGCTTGCGTCCCCAAGCCGTGGTGGCGGTCCAGCTGCCACCATGTCCCTGGCGAGTCCCCCGCAGGGAGTCCTTGTTGTTCTTCAGGTATGAGGCGTGACGCCCCACGCGCCAAGTTCATCGCCGCCTCCTGGATGGTGGGCATGAACGCGGTCGGGTACGTTGACAACTCTGCGAGGATGGCGTGGATCACGTCCACCGTCGTAGTAGTAGTAGTAGTAGTAGTAGCAGCAGCAGCAGCAGTACTTGAATGGGATGGCGGCTTACTAACGACTTATGCCTTTTATCCACATAACCAACTAGGTTATAACCGATTACCTCACTTACAAACGGTAGTTATTAGCGAGTTAATAACCACTTAGCTAAATGTTTGTTAACGGCTTGGCAATGATTTACTAACCCATTTAGCTAAAACCTATAAGTGTTTTTACATGCATTGAACAGCTGTTTTAAGAAACTTTAATTTTCAATATCTGCAGGGCGATATGTTTCAAAAAGGCCACTGTGTCGTTTGCATTGTGGAAAAACGACATCATGTTTAAGCTCGGAAGCACACCAAAACAAGACACCATCATGAACCCACTGAAAGTGTTTACCATCAAAAAGAGGATTGTGTCACCAACTCTTCGACATGCATCTATCAGGAACATGAATTGGGTCAAACGAACAAGGCATTGCTTCGTTAGGAAAACCAGAGGCACGACATCAACAACATGGACTGCTAGAGATAGGCCACATGTGACAGGATGAAAGTGGCTCACCCAAACTGAGCATATAAAATGCTTGGACACGCATGGCGATCGGGTCTTTTAGCATGCTTTCAACTTGGAGTGTAACTGCATTTCCATCATCGGAAACCGTTCTGTTGTAGTTGAAACGAAGTTGCATGACATGAGTCCGGAAGTATGCCTGCCTGCATAATCTTTCGTACCTGCAGCTACATGGCTCGCAGAGACACGAAACCCAAACTGTTTTCACACAACTTTAAAGCTAAAATTTTTTGCGCCCATCAAAAATCCTGGAACCCAAAGGTCGCAAACAGCCTGTAAAGGCTTTGTGCAACAGAAGCCTGTAAAGGCTTTAAGGTTTAGGGTTTAGGGGTTTAGGGTTTTTTAAGTTCGTAGACAGCCTGCAAAGGCTTTGTGCAACAGAAGCCTGTAAAGGCTCAAGGTTTAGGGTTTAGGGGCTTAGGGTTTTAACTGCGACACGAGCCTATAGAGGCTTCTGATTTCTGGTTGATAAGTTTATGCTGGTTTAGAGTTCTGAAAAGCTTCCATGCCAAGCCTGCAAAGGCTGCAGGTACTATCGGCCTCGTGAATTTCCTTTGGTAATAACCAAGATTTTAGAATAGAAGTGTTCGGTTTTAAGCAATCGCTCTTTTTTCAGGACCCTCTTGCCAGAAGGTTGCGAGCATGGTACGGCAGCAAAGTCCGATACACATCCGAGGACTTGGAATAAGTCACAGCACACAGTATTCCAAAGCTGCTAACCACATGTGCTTGATTGTCATGTGCCTCCTTCCACTCAGCAGCATCAGCCAAAGTCTTCTGGAAATCCAAGAACTTAAGAATGCTGTGAGGCTGGCCGTTGTCAAAGTTGGCCAGCAAAATGCCACAAGCCAGGGCCGACTGCATCTTCAGCAACACAACATCACCAGTTGAAACAGATCCGCCCCCAGCAAGCTTCAAGGTTCTGCAGATGGTGACTTGGCCCATCGTCACACCATGCTGGGCCAGAAGTTCCTGCATGGCCCGAGTGGCCTTGCAACTTTGAGAAAGCAGCCTGCACGACATGTCGAAACGGCCCGGTTGCTTCAAGTTGAAGAGCTGATCGGAAACGACCTCTTCCAGCACTGCCCGTTCATAAGCTCTCATGTTCTTTATAGGAAATCCAATTTTCGTCAACTGCTTGTGTTTTCGTTCCATAGCAAAGCATGGAATGAGGCAATTGTGCAGCTGCAAAGTGTCTCCATAATGAAGCATCCAGTGGAATTTCTTGACCATCCAAGCTTCCCAGTCGTTTTCCACGACCAGCTGAAGGACTCGCTCAGCTGCTTTGTCCAAGTCTTTTCCTCGCACACATCCATGAACCACAGATGTCAACAGCTCCAAGAAAAAAACCATGGCAACCAATGCCTTGCAAGGCCTTTGATCTGCGGCCCCAGCACATGCAGTTGATGCGAAGTGGGACAAGATGGGCCCGATGCACAACAGCTCAGAAGCTTGCTTTTTCAGTTTGCTACTCTTCTTGCATGCATCCACCCGCTTGCTGTCAAACAAACTAGGGAGATCCGGGCATGCTTTTTTGGTAGCTGCAGGCAACACCCAGAAGCCGAGGTAGTCCCGAAAAGAAGACCAACTCTGAAGACCTTGCTCTTGCATTGCTTGAAGGAAAAGGTAGCCGACGATGTTCAAAGTTCCGTTCGCCACAACTCCATGCATCCAGTCGTGCATGTAACAGCTCACCGGTTCCAAAAAAGGTCTGAGCCTCGTAGAACCCAGCAAAGCTTCGCGAGAAAACGAGAACCCTGTCGCCTGCTCCCACTGTGCAAACACCTTCGGTGTCTCGGAAAGAAATCGTTGTTCCATCCTCTGCCAGCTGTCAAGTACTTCCGAATCACTTGCCAGGTGCAATTGTGACTTCTTTGTATACTTGGCAGTAAAGAGGTCCTCCTCTGCATCTGAATCATTGTCGCATTGTCTGGACTTGATACAGATACAGTTCTTACACTTGACACAAAACTTTGTGCCAGAGTCCCCCTTTATGGCCAGGCAGAACTTCTGTGCGGCACCGTCCTGGACCAAGATCTTGAACCTGTAATACAGCCGCAATGGTGGATCCTCAGGATCAGGAGATTGCAGCAGTACTCCAGTGAGTTGAGGATTCACAACATCGTTGCAGAACACGTGTTCCTGGGTTGCATGGACGAAGGCATCCAAAGTCAAGACATTCAAAAGCATTTAGATGCTATGTTTGCAAGGCAAGCTACAAACATAATGCTGAATGCATGCAAGAAACAAGAATCCTCTTCAAGACCTGGCTCATGGAGCCGTCCAGTTTGCCGATGAAGTTTGTCTTCTGGAACATCAAGCACATCCATGCATCTTCGCACCCGAGAACGGCTCCGCCGAACTCTTTGAAAGAGCAATAAAGTGCCCAGGATTTCTTATTGCTTTTTGCACTGAGGGCATTTCCAGGCCAACATTCGTCGCTGTATACCACCAACGAATATGGGTTGGCAGCACTCGATGGATTCCGACTGTGGCAGCTTTTCAAAAGATCTGTAAAGGAACCCCCTTGCTTGAAGAGTCCGTGCAGGAAGCTGTGGAAGTTCACGAACATGAGATCCTTTTCTGCACCATGCACATCGATGACTTTGCAAGTTTGAAGAAGGCTGCCGTAGGCATTCCAAGATGATATCTCCTTTCTGGTTGCTTCAAGCATTGCCTTTGTGTGAACAACCTCGGGGATGCCTTTCTCCTGAATGGTTTTCAGGATACCCTCCAAGGCCGACTTCGAAACATAAGGCACACCCCTTCTCAGGTCATGCAGCTTCTGCAATTTCGCAGGCCTTCCTGATGCAGCTGCATCTTTATCCATTGCATGCAGTAGAAGCACGATGCACCATACATGATGCACACCGACAGCCAGAGGGCAGCATGATTACCCTTTACATGCGGCAAAGGGATACATCAGGAGCAGGCATGCAAAGAAGTATACACCTAACCAAACATGACTATGTCCCATGCACAGGTGTTTCTCACACGAGCTCTGGAATTGCATGGTTTCCGGTTGCTACTTTGCATCATGCAGGAAAACATGCATAAGCACGTTGTTGGATATGAAGAAAACCTTGCGACCCACACGATTGACCCGAACAGCTGCTAAGGAGACATCATTAAGTGTGTGTTTGCATGTTTCAATGCAGCCTGTACAGGCTTACCAAGAGGGTTTAGGGGTTTAGGGTTCAATGCAGCCTGTACAGGCTTACTAAGAAAGCCTACACAGGTTCAATGCAGCCTGTACAGGCTTGAAAAGAAAGCCTACACAGGTTCAATGCAGCCTGTACAGGCTTACAAAGAAAGCCTACACAGGTCCAATGGAGCCTGTACAGGCTTACAAAAAAAGCCTACACAGGTTCAATGCAGCCTGTACAGGCTTACAAAGAAAGCCTATACAGGCTGAGGTGTTGATAGTTTGACACAATGTTTCAGGTTGTTAGGTTGTGCATGCATTCGGGTGTATGCATGTAGGTTTGTGCGCCTTTGGACCCCTTTGTGTATGCATGTATGCATGTATATATTGTGTGTTTTAAGTTTGTGTGTATGAACCTTTGGCCTGCATATGTATGTCTATATGTATGTATTCTCGTGAATGTATATATGTGTATGCATATGTAATGAATGTACACAGTATATGTGTGTGTGTAACGATAGTACTTACACAAATCCCTGACATGTGAGCCAATACAGGCTGTCATAATCATACACTCACCAAAACGACAAGCAAGCTTTATGCACCGATGCCAATATAGCATCGAAAAGCTGCTCCAGTATATCCATGTTGTGATAGAACACATGGCTCTTGCTTACTTTAGCATCCTCCTTGCGACAATATGTAAAAAAGCGCCATGAGCCTGCACAGGCATAGTCATGCAGTCACACAAAGCAATCTCTAGGTTCCGAATATTCCATAGCCTTCACAGGCGAACTCCATTAATCCATGTGGCATAGCATGGTTTTGTTGAGCATCATACTTGCCACACTGTGAAACAATCTGAGCTTGTACAAGCTTTCATAATCATACATGCACACAAAACACAAACAAGATGCAATGTCACATAGCTTACTGCCTGTACAGGCATCAATGCATAGAAAGTTTTTTTTCAGCATCCTGTTTGCGAGAATGTTGTCAACCACCCACCGTCCTAGAGATCGCGAGTCTTTTGGGTGGTGTTCTCACCTCCCAAAACATACCCAAAACACAGCCATGCGACATGCTTGCTAAAGCTGCCCATGGCTTCTCCAAACACAGTGACACGTGTGAAACGTCACTTGTACTTCAAACCGTGCTTCTTAGCATACTGGATCCATTCGGACCTGTTGAGACGAAGTCCCGAGAAGCTCGGGTCGCGACACTGATCGCATCCATTGGCTGCTCCTCGGCATCGCAAGCAACCGAGTTTCAGCTTCGGATTTGAAGTCGTAACCTTCGAAGCCGAGGGATTCTTCTTGGCGGCGGCGGGTCGCTTCATTGTAGGTTGCTTCGTTTTCTTCTTGTGAAGTTTCTCGAAGGCTTGCTTCTCGAAGTCTTCCAATGGTGTGGGCTCACCAGCACTCGGCTCACCATCTGCGGCTTCATCCTGTTCATTGTCCCCTGCAGCTTCGCTCTGTGGTGTAGGGTCCACCTTACCATCCTCGAGTGCTGCAGGTGTCAACAAAGCAGTTGACTTTTGAATGAAGCTGTTCATATGCTGACCGAACTGCATGTTGCCACCCATCATTTGCTGATTAACCATCCCCATCGGCTGATTGGCAATCTGCATCTGGCCACCCATGTGCATGCTGTTGCCACCCATCATGTGTGGATTAACCATCTGCATCTGGCCACTCGTGTGCATGCCGTTGCCAGCAATCATGTGGGAGCTCGGAACCATCTGCATCTGGGCACCGTTGCCATTCATCACCTGCTGATTAACCGGAACCATCTGCATCTGGCCACCGCTGCCATTCATCACCTGCTGATTAGCCATCACCTGGCCACTCGTGTGCATGCCGTTGTTAGCCATCATGTGGGGGCTACCAACCATCTGCATCTGGCCACCGTTGCCACCCGTCATCCTCTGAGCAACCATCTGGCCACTCGATGCCGAGGGCTCGCCCTGACCAATCGTGCCACTCGACTGGGCACCTCGCTTGCTCCTCTTCGGCCCCTGTTGCATACACATGCATGAGATCGATATGCAAGTTCTATAACGAAGCATGACATGCAGGCTTAAAGTTACCAAGCATTACATGCATTCTTTCAACAATTGCAGCCTGCCTTGAACATGACTTGGTTGCTGGAAGACCGAACCGGTGTGGAATGACACCTGACTTGTGCCAAACCAGGACAATCCTTGCTGATCGGCTGCTCGTCGGGGTAAGAAGCTCGGAAGTGATCGGGCGGAAGATCGCCAGGGGAAGCAGGGAAGTGTAGCAGATGCTGGGCACCATTGGGCATTGAGGTGGGGCAAACCTGGAAAGACGAAGTTAGGTGTTCGGCCAAAGAGTAAACCACATCTCCACACGGATGGCTCTGGCCCTTCTTGATGTCTACCCATACCAACAAAGCAGTAGCTGATTTTTTCGTCCCTTCCTTGAGCGACCGGACACCCAAGAGTTTCAGACGATTGGCAATCACACTGCATCCTTCCCACATAGTCACGGACTCAAGCTCTTGCCATTCTGAGTTGGTGAAGTACATGTGGAGGTTTTCACAACTTTGGGGCACAATAGTTTCCCTGGTTGACCCATTGTTCCCATGCGAAACAACCTTTTGATCCACCACCTGAACCAACTGGTCGTACATGTCGCTAGGAAGACCGCTGCTTTTCAAGAGATCATAGAGCTCCACAATCTGAGTGGGTTGCAACTGTGGCATGAGCTGAAGCTTGTGCATGACTTGTGCCAACAAGGAGCTTTTCAGCTCCTTCACATTGGGCCGTGCCACTAGCAACAGCTGCATGCTTTGCAGCTCATTGGCTATGTCCTTCACGGTCCACTGCGACATGATTCCTGATCCAAGATGCCTGCCCTGCTACATGTGTTATAGCATGCATACCACAAAGTGAAAGCCTTTAAAGGCTCAGGCACCGCAACACAAAGAAGCCTGTAGAGGCTGATCCAGCAACTCTTTTGTTTGCTTCTGCATGGACCAGCTGACAGCTCTGGTCTGCTTGGCATGAATTTCATGCAGCAATGCACAACTTCAACCCAAGGGTCCCTGTGAGAAGGCCACACAAAAGCCAATGGGATGCATTCTTAATTGGGTTCTAAGCCCTTTTCCGTTGTGTTGCTCATGTCTTCAGCAGGAAGCCCACTTTCTCTGGAAGCAGAAACTTCTGTTGCCAGCCCAAAAAAAACTCTCCATCGTTCCTGGGACAAAGCATACTCGGTTATGTTGCCGTCCTGCATCACCACAACCTGTGCATCCTCTGCTCCGTCCAAAATGATATTTCCAACATAGCAAGGCACAGCTGCAGCTTCGTCTGTCGATGACATTGCAACAAAAGGTTTACACCCTATTTAGGATATGTTGCATTTGATTATATGATTCAGCGAATTCAAAATGTAGTTCAATCATAATAGAATAATAGTTTCATGTAGATAATTATATTAAGACATTTATAGGCTGCTAAATGGTTGAATTTAAAATTTTAAATTGAAATCCCAAGCCTGCGGCTCTGAATTTAGGATTCTAAACTCAAGGACCGTCTCAGTTTAATGGAATAAATTCAAACCCAGCCCTGGCTCGTTTGAATTTAGCCTTATAAACTCAAGCAATAATCAGAGTTTACAATCCTAAACTTAAACCCGGAAGGCCTGGAATTGAATTTAGAATCCTAAATTCAAGGATTTGGCCCACTCATGCCAATCACCCCTTGCATTGTGGTTGATATCAACAAAAACCTGAGCACAACATCAACTAAGCTTGTCAACATGTCTCAACAACAGAAGCCTGCACAGGCTTTTGATTGAAACTTGAAGCCTATAAAGGCTGGTCACTTAGCCTATATAGGCTCATACAAGGATATGCTTTATTGGGTTTCGGGTGGATGCTGTGCTTTGGGCTGTTGTTGCTGGTGCTTGTGGTGGTGGTGGTGGTGATGGTGGTGGTGATGGTGGTGGTGGTGGTGGTGGGGGTGGTGGGGGTGGGGGTGGTGGTGGTGGTGGTGGTGGTGGTGGTGGTGGCGGTGGTGGCGGCGGTGGTGGTGGTGGTGGTGGTGGTGGTGGGGGTGGTGGCGGTGGTAGTGGTGGTGGTGGTGGTGATGGTGGTGGTGGTGGTGGTGTTTGCTGTGTGTCATCTGCGGGTGGTCGGGGGCTGTTGTTATTGTTGTTGCACCTACACTGAGCACCGAAACCACAACACCCAAGCAAACTCTGTTTCCCGTATGCTACACAGCCTTTACAGGCTTTTGCTTTGTTTTCGTGGTTGCTACACAGCCTATACAGGCTCGAAAACCAAGCACCCCCCTCATTTTTTCGCCCATCATCGACAGACTCAGCTGTAATATCCATAGGCGACATCCTTCCCATGCTTCTGGACGAGGTGCTCCAGGTGCTTCATCGCAGGAATAACAGCATGGTGCTCTTGGTACCACTTCATGTCGGCCTCCAAGCCAGCGAAGTCGTTGTTCTTATATTTATGAAGCAGCACCACCATTCGAGCCAGCCAGCCCTTGCGAGACTTTTGCGAGCAGTCGTCCACCTCAGGTTCAGATTCATTTGGTCACCCACTACACACCAGCCTAGCCCAATGTGTCCCACCCACTAGAAACCAGCTTAACCCAATGTGTCATGTGCAACCACCACCAAGAAGCCTATACAGGCTGTTCGGTTTCGGTTTGGTTTGTTAGCCTATACAGGCTTTCGGTTGCTTTGTTAGCCTAGACAGGCTTTTCGGTTTGGGTTGGGTTTCTTGGTGTTGGGTTGACCAAGACCACCAACATTGTTGCCGAGAATCTGATTCTCGCCACCGCTGCCAGCCTCTTTCCGGACTCCACTTCCAGTAAAGGCCAGGACTGTGGTCGTCTTCGAACCACCAGACATCGCCGACGATCCAGCATTTGTAGCCGTTCTCGTTGACCCAGTGCTCGTAGTACTCCTGCTTCACCTCCGTCTTGGCCTCCTCCACCGGCTGTGCGGCCTCACTGGGCTCCTGCACCGGCTGTGCCATCCCTGCCGATGAAGAAGAAGCCGCCTCCTGCTCCTCCTTGGCGAAGAGCTCCTCCTGCAGTCGCTCCAGCTCCTCCTGCTCCTCGGCCTCGGCCAGCAGCTGAGCTTGCAAAGCCAGCCGCTTTTGCTCCACCAGCAAAGCCTCGGCCTCGGCATCGGCGGACTCCTCGGCAGGCGGCGCTTTTGCAGCCGGCGGCTGCTTGAACGGAGGCTCCTTCTTGGGTGCTGTCGCCGCCATCTTCGGCCGAGCCTCCACCATGGCCTTGGCAAACATCTTCTCCTGCTCCTGCAGCTCCTGCACCAACCAGGAATGCAGGAGCACCACATGCTTCAGTACTATAGTTACTATAGCCTCCACAGGCTTGTACATGAGAGCAACACATGAGCCTTTACAGGCTTCGCAAAAACACCTCAGCCTCCACTGGCTCGACAACAACACTCGCCACTGCACAAGAACATGTTGCATGCAAGGGCCCGGTCCTGTGCTTGCTGTGCTATCACATGCAAAGGCACACTTGCCGGCACCATGGGAGTCCGAACTCCAGGAGCAGCTGCCGTTGCTGCAGCCATAGGCACTGCAGGACCTTCAGGAAGAGCCACACCATGTGCACGGCCAGGACCTTCAGGAAGAGGCACATCACCGCCAGGACCTTCAGGAAGAGGCACACCATCGCCAGGACCTTCAGGAAGAGGAACCCCACCGGCGGGACCTTCAGGAAGAGGCACACCAGTACCGCCAGGACCTTCTGTAGGAAGAGGCACACCAGCACCGCCAGGACCTTCTCTAGGAAGAGGCTCCAGGGTCACCTGCATGCATCCCATGCAGACATGAACACAAACAGTCAAGGCATGCAACAAGCCTTCACAGGCTTAAGGAACTCCAGCATGCCGGGCCTCGGTCCTCGGCATCTAGGCAGGCCGCTCATTGGCAGCCAAGCCATCTTCGTACTCCTGCATCAAAGGTTGCATACACTGTGCACAAGCCCATGTTTCAAAAGAACATCAAGAATCAAGAAGAAAGTCGCCTGAGTCAGCTCACGGGCCCATTCCTTGGCCCACTCGGGAGCACCCTCCATCTTGAGCTGCTCGTGTCTGCCCATGTAACCAAAATGAGCATGCCCTTGCTCGGCTATTCAAGTAACCTGCAGCAGCAACTTGCCATTCATTGTTTCTACAAAAAGCCTGTAGAGGCTTTCAACTGTTTGGTATTGTAGCCTGTAAAGGCTTTCAAGTTTTGGTATTGTAGCCTGTATAGGCTTTCAGGGTTTTGGTATTGTAGCCTGTTGATGCTTTCAAGGTTTGGGGATTGTAGCCTGTAGAGGCTTGCAGGTTTTTGTGATGCTAGCCTGTAGAGGCTTTGAAGCTTTTGGGATGGTAGCCTGTAAATAAAGGCTTTCAGGTTTTCGTGATGGTAGCCTGTAGAGGCTTTCAGGTGTTTGGGATTTTAGCCTCTGCAGGCCAAAAGGTTTTTGGGATGGTAGCCTCTACATGTTTTCAGGTTTTTGGGATGTAGCCTGTACAGGCTTTCAGGTTATTGGGATGCAAGGAAATTAGCGCCTAGAAAGGCTTCGGGTATGTGGAGCAACTTCTGTGTGTTCTTAAGCACAGTGCACATGCTTCATTTAAGATGAGCAGAACAACAACACATCCCAGGGGCATGCGGTTTAGGGTGGAGGTGTAGGGTTCATTATTTAAGGTTTGAGGAGTGCATACATCATGCAATGATTTTTCTCACACAGAGGAAGAAATCTCGCAGCTGTCACATGTACACCCAGCATGTACAAGTTCATTTCTTCTTGAATGAGCCACTCTTAACATAGGCCCGCTTGTCTTTGCCCATGCAACTCTCGATGTTTTCATCTTCGGCCACATACTCACAAACAGCACTGAGCATGTCTGCATCGAGCTTGACTACGATGTCGGATTCCTTCAAGGACGACGGTGTCTTCACTTCAATCTCCTTGCCACCAATGTCGATGAGCAATGTTGCCGGTGCTTTCTGGAACTGGATTTTTTTTTGTTTCTTTTTTGGTTGTTCACCCTGATCTTCTTCACCAAACACATCATCGGCTGCTTTGTCATCATCGACCATGTGCTCCATGGCCTTCTGGTGAATCTTTTTGTTCAATTCTGCGAACTTCTTGCAACCACTAAGGCTGGGTTGGTGCTTGGATTTGTAATCATCCATGTGTCCCAGAATGAGCTTGGCCACACAGTAATGCGACGGCCTCAATTTGACCCATGTACCTTCATCTTCACGGACAATGAGGTCATCTGGCATGATAACTCTGGGCCCTTCTTTAAACTGGAGCTCGACCTTCTCACGGATTTCCATGGCAGCCATATCGTGGAAGGGTTCGTTGAATCTCGTATTCTATAGTTCATACATACACCTGTGCACAAACAAAGTAGCATGCACATTTGCAAATCTTACATCATGCATTGCATGCACTGTCGGGCTCAACGATTGCTGCCAGTAGCAACATGCATGCAACACGGATGTAAGGTTGAAAGAAGCACACACATGCACATAAGCGCATGCTTATCATTTACTAGCCTGTACAGGCTTACATCTCATGCATGCACATCAAATGTGTAGCCGATACAGGCTTGCCTGAGTATCATACACAACAAAGGTTTAGCCACTACAGGCTTCAATATCATGCACATACATCCATACCCAGCCCATACAGGCTTTCTTACTACTTCATGTACCACAAACCCACGTCTACAGAACATGATTAGCTTTTTTTTCTCGGATCCTCGATCCGGGCGCTAGCCGACTGCAAAATGCCCACCCGTGTCTGTACTGGATCGTGCTTGTGCATGCTTCTGTGCAATCAGCTCTCTCTCTCTCTCTCTCTCTCTCTCTCTCTCTCTCTCTCTCTCTCTCTCTCTCTCTTCTGCCCCTGCTGTACAGGGGGCTTATACAGGAGGAGCTGCTGCCCCGGCTTCAAGGCATTCGTGTTCTTCATGAAACGCATCGAAAGCTTGTGAAACTTGCTTCTGCACATCTCCATGGTGGCCTCCGACTCGGTGCTTGTGTACCCGACCCAAAAGAAGGGGACCAACATGCCTGTGGCAAAGTCAACCTTGGGGGGCTGCACGACGAAGAATGCTCCGGAATCCGTCTCAATCAAACACTTGGCCTTGTCCTTCTCGGGGGAGCTGGACTTCGCAATCGAGCCATACGGGAGGAGTTTGAGATGACCCTTTTTGAAACCTTTCTTCGCGAAGACTTTCGAATCAGTGCTGAAATCAAGATCATCATCATCGAGCTTGTGCCTAAGCTTTCTTAAATGAAATGCAGGAATCCTTACATTACTAGCAGCCATCAACACACAACATGTTCAACATCACATGTCGAGGAGCTCCTGGAAGGATGTGTGCAACTTGAGGAAAGCATTTGCTTTCTCAATTTCATCCGTGAGGTTCGCTGCGATTTGCATTCGGTGGATGATGCTGCTATCCAACATGATTGGGATCTCTTTGCTAGTCGCTTTCATGAACTTGAGGTCTTTGTGTGGCACCCTCACCGTCTCCCCCTTGCCCCAAACATCTGTCACTGTGAACACACCGTCCGTGTCGTCCATGTGCATGAACACGTGGATGTCACTGCAATCCTTCTTCAAGTACTTTCCATTCGCTTTCAACCACGGGTACTGGTGCATAGCGATGCTGGCGGGCGACGAAGTATCCTAGGTATATGCACATGCATGCATGCTATGTACACAGAACCTATACACCAATGAAAGCATGATTTAAGGCATCAAGCATAATGCAAGAATTTTGCATCAAGCCTATATAGGCTTTTGCTCCGAGCCTTTATAGGCTTTGTGTAAGCCTGTGTAGGCTGTTTTGAGCCAGATGCTTTTATTTAAGGTTTTTTTCTGCGGTTATATAGGGGGTTAGTGCTTAGGGGTTTTTTCAAACTCCAGGCCTGTAGGGACATCACCTTCAAATCGGTGCTGCCGGCAGCTCCTGAGCTGCTGGCCTCACTTCCTGGGGCTTGGCCCTGGAAGGACTCTCCATGGGCCTTTGCATTGTCGATTTCCTTGGTAAAGGCTTCTTGAATTTCATGGAGGCTTTTGAAGACATGGGACTCCCGTCCTTTCCCGGATTTTTTGCACAGGAACCGGGCCGTCCTGATCTGCATCCGAGCAAAGATGGAGATCCCCCGCTTTTGGTGCATCCACCCAAGGTTCTGAAGGAGCTCGAGGCACATTTTCATGAGGGACTCTGCGGACTTCACCAGGTCCTTGTTAGCCGGCGACTTCATTTTCTCGAAATCGCTCTTGACCAATTGCTTTGCGATTCCATCCTGCTGTTTTGTCGACAGCATGTTTGAAATCCAGAAGGCAGTTCGCAAGAGCGGGTAGGTGCATGTTGAGTCCTTCATCTGAGTAAAGGCCAAAGAGTCCATAAATTCAGCACCCATCAACAAGCTGGAGTTAAAGGCTTTACTCACGTCGGACATATAGCGAATAAGCGGGAAGCCTTCTCCCCCCGCAAAATTCGCGGTGTAGTGCCCCACCGCCTTGATATAGGGCAGTGGCATTGACCACTTCGTCGTCTCAATGGCCACCTCCATGCTCTTGCACTGGTCGTAGTGGTAGGCCAAGCTCATCGCGACCTCGATCTCATTTGCGACCTTTGCCACAAAGTTGCTGCTGTTCGCAGCTGCCTGCACCATGGTGGGGAACCAAGCACCAATTTCATCAGCTGCTGCTGCACTGATGACTTTCCAAGTCCAGCCATCATTGCAAACCTTCTGGAAAGCATGATCCTTGAACTTGGTGCCCAGGATATCGACACTCAAGTAGCCACTGTTCAACTGAGCCATGTCCTCGTGGTCCGTCTTGGCGCCTGCCAAG